CTAAAAAAATGTTCTGTACCTAAACTGATGACAAATGTCTTGCTAGAGTTATAAGCCAGTTCAGACCATCCGAAAAGCAACCAAGTCCAGCAAAATCATGCTTCAACACTATAAACAGCTAAATACTAAAATGAAAATAGACACGAGACACCTGAATAGTAATCTATAGCCATTTTGAGGTGCATAAAACCTGGTGAATATAAACCAAAATTGAAAGATCTATGAAGAAGTCACAGGATGTGGTTAAGAACCTGCATTTTCCTATTAACATATTGGTAAATCAATGCCATGTCAATTAATGCCAAAAAAAAAAAAAATGACACTAAGAAACCAATTCTACACAGGCAAAAAGTGCATCAACATTCCTCCCCTTCTGGCCACTAGGTGGCGACACTGGACGTAGTTGTGCAGGGAGTACTTGGGCAGCTTGTCTGTGTGGTCCCTGCCAACCAGCCAGGACCTCACAATCCAGGGTAACTAGCAATCCAGCTCCTTGCATGAGGCACTCACATGAGCTTTCTGGTTGTGGGGGGCTGTGCCCCCTAGAATGACCACTGAGCAGAGGAGGAGTTAGGTTGGGGGTACGTAGCATGGAGGCTCTGGGCACAGGAGAGGCATGGGAGAGAAGGCTCAGCTGCTGTGGGACATTGAACGCTGCAGTTGATAAGTAATGAGGAAGCTAGAAAGGCAGGTGAGGGATACTCACAGTGAAAACGCTGTAGGCTAAAGCTCAGCAGCTGGCTGGGAGGTGCAAGAAAAAGGCTCCACCAGCGTGCGAACTGCCACACATCCGGGTGTTAGGAAGATCACACCGCAGAGGGTAGGAATGTGAGGCTGGCTCGGGAGGGGCAGAATCGAGGCTGGCCCCAACTCTCACCCTGGAACAGACATTGGGCAGACCGGGGGTCAGTGGTTAGCACTCTGAGGGTCCCAGCACCAAGCAAGCCCCCATTCTTGTACATTCCAGCTCCTCCAGCATCCCATTCCTCCCCAGCAATCTGGCAGGGGGAGGGAAGCAGGACCTGTGAAATACAGGTGTCAGTAGCATTCCTCCCTGGTCCAAGGCCTGACCTTGAGGAACACCTGCGGGGACCCCCACATCAGCTTCCCGCTGCACCCTGGCCTCCCTCTCAGAGCCAGCTTCTAAACCGGGGCACCCTGACCAGCCCTTTGCGATCTCTAACACCCACTGCACATGTAAGACCGACAGGCAGAGGCACAGGAGGGGACTTTCACATTCGGGGCCTGGTGAGACAGACTCGGGACAGGGGGAGGGCTGAAGGTCAGCGGAAAGAAGATACTTTCATGTTCCAGCTGCTTTCCAACAGGATCAGCTGCAGAGGCAAGCAGCCACAGTGAGAGCAGTGCCCACCAGGACCACCCGTTGTCCAAAGGGAACTGGGGTGGGCTCCATAACACCCACCCTTCTAGGTGGTCCACGTCCTCAGGGAACTATGAATATGCTAGATGTCAATTATATGCTAGAAGTCAATTACCGTTGCTAATCAGCTGCCCTTAAAACCAAGTGTCTGAGGGGGTCCAGTGTGATTACAGGGGCCCTTTAAAGGGAAGTAGGGGGGCAGAAAGAAGGTCAGAAAGAGATGATGACGGAGGCATCATTAAAGGGATGTGGAACAAGTACTGGACTGGTGCCTCCAGCTGTGAGGGTGAAGGAGGGGGTGCCAACCCAGCAAGGCTGGCAAAGCCACAGAAACAGACAAAGAGCAGCCACCCCAGGAGGAGGCGGCCTTGGTGACCACCTCAGCTAACCCAAGAGATGGGCTGCAGCACACGCTGAGTCTCTGAAATGCAAGACAATGTCTGTGTTGTTTGAGCCAAGTGTGGGGCATCTCAACAGGAAGTGAACCCAGAAACTGGCACTGTGGGACAGCAGCTCAAGCCACCGCTAGTGACGCTGTAGTCACATCCACTTCCAACCCAGCTCCCTGCCCATGTGCCTGGGAGAGCAGCAGTAGATGGCTTAACTGCTTGGGCCCCTGTACCCACGTGGGAGACCTGGATGCAGTTTCAGGCTTCCGGCTTCAGCCTAGCCCAGCAGGTGTGGTTACAGCCACTTGAGGAATGAACTAGTAGATGAAAGATAACTTTCTCTCTTCCTGTCACTCTATCCCTCAAACCCTTCTTCTTCTTCTTCTTTTTAATTGCGGCACCATTAAACTTTAAAAGATTTTATTTATCTGAAAGTCAGTGAGAGAGAAAGATATCTTCGATCTGTTGTTTCACTCTCCAGATGGCCACAACAGCAGCAGCTGGGCTAGACTGATGTCAGATGCCAGGAGCTTCTCCCAGGTCTCCCACATGGATACAGGGTTCCAAGCACTTGGGCCATCTTCTGCTGCTTTCCCAGGCCACTAGCAGGGAGCCTGATAGGAAGTGGAGCATCTGGAACTCAAGCAAGCAACCACATGGGATGCTGGCACCCCAGGTGGTGTCTTAACCTGTTATACCACAACACCAGCTTCCATAGGAACTTTAAAGTCACACACACTTCAGGTCTGGCATGGTAGCCTAGTAGCTAAAGTCCTCATTTTGCATGTGCTGGGATCTCATATGGATAACAATTCAAGTTTCAGCTACCCCACTTCCCATCCAGCTCCCTGCTTGTGACCTGGGAAAGCAATCAATAACAGCCCAAAGCCTTGGGACCTGCACCCATTTGGGAGACTTGAAAGAAGTTCCTGGCTCCTGGCTTTGGATCAGCTCAGGTCTGGCCGTTGCGGCCACTTGGGGAGTGAACCAGCAAATGGAAGATCTTTCTCTCTGTCTCTCCCTTTTTCTGTAAATCTGACTTTCCAATAACAACAAATAAATCTTTCAAAAAAAAAAAAATTAAGTCAGCTGCAGCTCTGGGTCCAGCCCAGAGAGTTAGGGCAGACTTTGCCTACCAACTACAGGTCCAACACCTGTGGCAGACCCCGAGGCTGGAGCGAGACGCTGTTCTGAAGCCCTCGTCAGTGCTCAGGACTCAGCACGTGGGAGCTATGGTGCTCACTTCCACAGCACCTTCCCATAACGCATGGAACACTGCCTTCCCATTTCACAGGTGGCAAAAACAAGCCCTACGATACCAGACGCTTTGCTTTAAACTGATGACTGGAGTGACCCAGGCCTGGGAATCCCAAGCCTTGCCTCCTTCCTATATGCAGCCAAGCTGGGACTGGCCTCTGCCGTGGCAGCTACCACAGCACATCCATCCCAGGTGCCTGGGCTCCGCCCCCAGCTCTACTCCCAGTCCAGCATCCTAGCAACATACACTCAGGGAGGCAGCTGTGATGACTCAAATGCTTGGGTTCCTGCCACCCAGGTGGGAGACCCAGATGGAGTTCTCAGGTCCTGGCTCGGGCTTGCGTAGCTCCAAGTCTCAGAACTCAGTAACAAAGCCAGCAGAGGAGTCAACAGATATCACCAAAAAGAGATGCAAAAGTCTGGGCCCAGCACAGAAGCCAAGTGACAAAAGTCCTCACCTTGCATGCACCAGGATCCCATATGGGCACTGGTTCTAATCTAGTGGCACCTTTTCCCATCCAGCTCCCTGCTTGTAGCCTGGGGGGAGGGCGAAGGTGGGGAGAAGGGAACATTAGAACAGGCAGATGTTCTTGAATTAGGTCATGGCCACAGGTATAAATCCTGGGAGAAAACCCTTGCAGGGCACCCTTCAAACAGGTGAAATTTTTGGGTATCAAGCACAAGAAAGCTATTTTCTCTTTAAATAGGAAGCAAATTTCTTCACCAACGGCCGGGAGTAGTGCGAACTTCCCTGCTTCCCACCTCCACGCAGACCCTGCGACCAAGCGTGGCCGATCCTGTAAGAGGCTTTAGAATGTGCTACCCATGCAGCTTATCTGGTTAAAAAATACATACAATAAAATAAAATCTTACGTTTATAATCGAAGTTTAAGCTTAATTTTTAGGTACCTTTTTTAAAAAAATCTGCTTCAAAAGGTGGGCGATGGCAGTGCCGGAGGACAGTACTGGGCAGAGACGGCTGGGGTTGCAGTGGGCAGAGGGGTGCAGTAGCCCCAATCGCCTCCCGAAGCCCCTATCCCCATCCAGGCAACACGCTCCTCCGCAACCGTACCTGGTCTAGCGACCAGCCGCGCCGGCTCTAATGCGCCCCTGCGCGCCTTTCCCACCCGCGTTCCGCCTCCTCGACGCGGCCCAGCTCGGGGCACGGCCGGCGGTGGCTTAGGCCGGGGGGTGGGAGGGAAAGAGCCTGTCCCGCCGGCTGTGCTCGCGCGCGAGCGAGTGACCACCGTCCCTGCACCTGCACCAACTTCCAAACAGCTCAGCTGTCTCCCATGCGCGCGGAGCCGAGGCGGGGGCCCGGCTGAGTCTGCGGGCGCACGTGGCGCTTGTGAGGGCAGTGTCCCCCGGAACCCACTCGGGGACCCCGGGGGCTGTGGGTGCACCAGGGTCGGCCTTGAAGCCTCGCGGGGCGCGGAGAGTCGCTGTATGCGCACCCGCCAAGCCCCAGCTCGGGGAGGGGTGGTGGTGGCGCGGGGCGGGGAGGCGCCAGGGGCCGAGGGGAGGGGCGCACAGGAGGTGGGCGGCCCGCCGTCCGTCCGCGCGTCCATCGGGGCTCGGCGCCGGGGACACTCGGCCGCCTCCGCTCTGTTCCCACTCTTGTCCCTGACAGTGTGGGCAGGGCCATCGGGGGCTTCCGTGGGCTCGGCCTCTTCCTCCGCGGGAGGAAAAGGCAAGGGGAAGCCCCCCGGCGCCGCCTCCGCCTCTGGAGAGCCACGGTGGCCCCGAGCTGAGCGCCCGCGGCCACTGAGGACGATCCCCGGGCGGGGCGCCCGTGCGTCGTGCCTGTCGCCGTCCGTGTCCGGAGCGACTGGCCGCGCCAGCCCGTGAGGCGCCCCGGGTCGCACAGCGGACCCCACCCTGCCGGGTGTGGACGACAGCCGGCCGGGGACGCGCCGTTGAGCAGCCGTCGTCGCGGGGCCTGGCCGCGGCCTCCAGCGCTCCAGTGCTGGGGAATGCAGTGGCCCCCGACCCCTGGCGCCTCTCCGTGTCCTGGCTGGGCCTCCTCGCTCGCCTGCGCCGCAGCCGCGACGCTCCTGAGCCGCGCCGGCCGGGCACCCCTCATGGCGGCCAAGTGGTTCAAGGAGTTCCCGCTGAACCTGAAGCCCGCGTCGGAGCGGGCCAAGCCGGGGGGCGCGGGCGGTGCTGGAGGAGGTGGTGGTGGTGGTGGTGGCGGTGGCGGCGGTGGTGGCGGCAAACTGCGCAAGAACTCGGAGGCGAGCGGCGCGGGGCCGGCCGCCTCCAAGGGCCGCAAGAACTCGGCGGCCGAGCTGGGGGGCGGCGGCCGGGCCGGGGGCGGCCCCACCAAGGACAGCCGGCTGTCCCGGGACAGTCTGCAGGGTCTCATTCAGGCGGCCGCGGGCAAGGGCCGCAAGAACTCGCGGACCCCAGAGGAGGAGCCCCATCGCAGTGTGGCCAAGAGCACGGGCTGCAGCACCTACATCAATAGGCTCATTAAGGTGGACACCCAGGAGAAGAATGGCAAGAGCAACTACTCCGGCGGCAGCAGCAGCAGCGGCAGCGGCAGCACCAGCAGCTCCTCCTCCGCGTCCTCTTCACCTTGTTCCCTGGGCCCTGAGCTGGACAAGGGCAAGATGGCCAAACAGCAGGATACGGTAAGAATACAGGCCCCGCGGGTGGCAGGGGAGGCCGCGTTTTCCAACATCCTTTCTTTGCTACGTTTCAGGGTCTGCTGCGACCACTAAAAATCATTCGTGTTTTTTTTTTTTTGAAAAGTTTTCAAAGTGGAGAACTTTCCAGAAAGGTAAATCCGTTTAATGTGGCTGGCATTATTTATTTTTTAAAGAAGAGGCACTGATTTACTGCTTTAGTAAATTTGGCTCCTTTGTGGGAGTGATTTACTTTTTAATTATTTGAAAGAGAGAAAGAGAGCTCTTTCATCCATTAGTTCTCTTTCCCCACATGCTGGCAGCGGCTGACCCTGATGTAGCAGGCTCAAGCCAAGAGCCAGCAGCTCCTTTCTTGGTCCCCTGTCTGATTGGCAGTGGGGGAGCTGCCATCTGCTGCTTGCACGTTGGCAGGGAGCTGGATCCCAAGCGGAGTAGCTGGGATTCACACCGGCATCCTATGTTGGTATTCTTAGTTTGCCAAGGGCTCTGAGAAGTTGAATTTTCTCTTGCCTTGGTTTTTAGATGAGCTGCCTTCCTGGAAGGAGCCTGGGGCCTGGAGCATATACCATGTGCACCCACACTGGGCATCTGTATTCATTCACTGTCAAGTATGAACTGCCTGTTACCCTATTGCCAGGCACAGCACAGGGGGCTCGGACCAAAGGCGTGGGTCCCGCAGGCCTGTGCGGCGAAGGTGACCTGGTGGGTGTTTCTGGGATTCTGGGCCAGCTTGTGCCCTCCACTTTAGCCCTTTCTGAGTTTTGCCTGCTGGCACACCTCTGAACTTTTTAGAGAATGACCTGAGATAGCGGAACTAGCTGTGAGCTGCCTGTGGAGAAGGGACCCCACCCTCCATCTCTAGACACGTCCTGTCTCTGTGGTCCAAGTCCGCAGGCCTGAGAGCTGTTGGACCCAGAACTCCCAGAACACTGCTCTGCTCTGAGCTGTTCCTCTCTGAGGCTGATCTCTTCGGGGCTGTGAGAAAGCCTGGGAGGAAGCAAGCAAGTGTCAGCTTCCTTTTGACTCTGGGTGCCTGGCTAGTGCCCCCAGGTAAAAAGACTGACTCACTGTGGTTAATTGCTCACTGATTGGAGCTTTTAAGAGCTCACAGCAAGGGGTATGTGGTAGACCTGTTCATCTTTTTATATTCAGAGCCTGCCAATTGGCACTACCCACCCTGTCACCCACAAGTCCTGTGTTCCAGGGAAAGAACGTAGAAAAGGGCTGGGAGAGAAGGAAAAGAAGTTGGAATGTGTATTGGCAAATCAGTACATCCCCTTCCTCTGCCCACCAAAACTCTGATGTTTGTGCCCAGCCGGGACACCTGATCCAGCACAGAAGCTCTGTGGAACTGGTTGGAGCAGCTGACCTCTCTCTGGGCCTGCCGGAGAGCTCAGGAGGCAGCTGGATACCATTACTGCACTGGAACCTGAGCATCTGTGCCTTGGTTCTTTTCCAGGTCATCATTCTGGAAGACTACGCTGACCCTTACGATGCCAAACGGACCAAGGGCCAACGGGAGGCAGAGAGAGTCGGGGAGAATGATGGCTACATGGAGCCATACGACGCCCAGCAGATGATCACAGGTGGGTAGCCAGGCACTGCAGGACCTGGGGGCCTCGGAGAACGGTAACTGTATTTCCAGCAAGCGGGAAGGAGACACTTTAGCTATTTCTTGCTAATGAGAAACTAGAGCAAGGAGACAGGCACCTAAGATGAAAGTAACTAGGTTAATGTCAGTGTTCCAGTCTGCAGGAGTCCTTGGCATCTTTGGGATTCTAAGCCACATGATGTATGTGCTTTGGCAGATCTGCCCAGAATGTAGGGTGTTGTTTGTTTTTTTCCAGTTGAGATTGTTCGTGTGGTTGGGGGGCTGCTTTGACAAGTCTGGACAACCAATAGACACACAGATCTGCATACGTGTCACCGTCCTCTGTGTAGAAAAAGACTGTCAATGAATTCTGCTACGTGATAGGGGGAAAAAAACGTGAAAGACTAAGGAGGATCTGCTCACGGCCGGGAGCCAAGCCCCCAAAGGCCCACTGGGCTTCTCTGGACCCACACCCCAAGTCTGGATCATTGCAGTTTGAGAACTGAGCAGTCATTTTCAGTGTTGAACTTTTGTTCCCTTGTATTCCTAGAGCTCTTAAGCCCATGTCAGTGATAGCTAATACAGACTAGTCATTTAGATGCGTTTGCCAATTTCTGAGTACATGATCTGTTCACGACACTCCTTTTATCCGTCATGAACCCCTTTGCTGTTGCTCCTACCTAGGCCACAGTGTAGAGACTGTGGCCCGCTGTACGCCCTGCAGCAGGCCAGCAGCAGCAACTCCCTGACGGGCCCAGGCGGCCCCAGAAGCGCATCGCTGCTGCAGGAAAGCCAGGCTGTGTTTCCTGCTTTCCTGCTCACAGAGATAAGCCCTGTGCTCAGGGAGGGGGGCCCCTAGTCAGACTGTGACCCTGATGGGCACTGGACTGTGACCCCTCATGAAATCTGTGAATGAAAGGAAGTGAAAATGAACTTAGTCAGAATTTTAAAAAATATCTGAGGTTGGGAGGGAGTAGGGAAAGGAATACGCAGACTCAAGGGGTGGATAAAGCAACTTCAGCCAAGAGGAAAAAAAAGTGCTGAATTTGATTCATTTTCTCGATCTTTCCGATTTTGTTCTCTTTAACTTAAAATACTTTACACCGTGCCAGCAATTGACTGGGGAGCCACACTGGTAGTAGGGCCCAGTTTGGTAAGACCATTGCCTCTTTGTTCTGGTGTGATTGCTCTAAGTGCTGTAAGAGACAGGGGCCTGCAGGGAAGTCCCTCTTGTGACAGGCAAGAAAGCAAGGTTGCAGTGATTTGCTGCGTGAGCCTGGGCTCTAGAGGGGAGCAGGAGCCGAACCTAGGCACCCCACTGCTGAGGAAATTGGGTGGCACGGGGGTGGGAGAGCTGGCCCTCAGGAAACACTTGAAAGCCGGAGCACCGTCTGCTGGCGAGCCCTCTCCCCACACCCACGCCCCAAGCACCGTCAGACTCAAAGTCCAAATTGTCCAGCATGAAACAAAGGTACTCATAAGAATGGCTAGCATTTCATAGTTCGGCATTTATTTCGTTCCAGTTCTGTCTTAAACCGGGTATGTGAGTAAATTCATTTAGGACTGCAGAACAAACATATTGAAGGGGTGAATAAATTCAGCTCTATTAAAAATCTCAATGACTAACTTCCTAAATTAGTAGTAAGTCTTTGAAAAATTAGGTTCATACAGCATTAGCTTTCCTCATTTCTAACATACAAGGGGACTTGACAGCATCTGCAACAGTGGAATTGGAGGATACGTTTATTTTGATGCAAAAACCTTCCGAAACTGTGAACTTTTTGAACTTGCATCATTGCTCACAAACACCTCCATCAGTGAGGGGATGATGCCTCTTATTGCAGCTGGACGGAAAACAGGAAATGAGTTTATCAGAAGCTGGAAATAAAAGATCTGCTTTTTTTTGGTTAACTTTTTACTGTTTTTATTCAGTGGTGCTCCTTGCGGACCTGGCTGCCTCGTGTGGAAGTCTCTCCTGTTTCTTGAGACATCCTGGGGGTTTCTGCTGACTTGTTTCAGCAGCAGGTGGAGAGGGCGCTGAAGCTTGCAATGGCCACTGTGTAGCCGTCCCCTGCTGCCACGCTGTCCCTTCTGCCATTGCCCTCTCTCGTTCAGGTGGGAATGGCGTGTCCAGCTTTGACAGTGTCGTAGGCATCAAGAATACCGCCATGATGTCATCTTAGAAAATCCCTGGAGCACTTTGTGGAAATGTACTTAGTGTGGACTGGGCTCAGAGCAGACAGGAAACTACAGCCCCGTGACACCTGCTCCTGGGCCACACAGCCTCAGGGGAAGCAGCCTCCGCAAGCAGGAGAGAAGTCACTGAGAATGTATGAATGGCACCCTGAGCTAGAGATAAAGGCACCCTGTGTTCCATGCAGAGAGGAAGAAGGGGAAGTGAGGACTTGAAAACCAGGGAGAAAATCTTCACTCCCCAGATGCCCGGAACAGCCATGTCTGGGCCAGGCTGGAGCCCGGAGCCAGAATCTCCACCCAGGCCTCCCACAGGGTGCAGAGACCCAGTACTTGGGCCATCTTCTGCTGCCTTCCCAGGTACGTTAACAGGAAGATAGATTGGAAGCTAAGCAACTAGGAGTTGAACCAGTGCTTATTCATTTATAAGTGCTTTAATATGAGATGCCAGCTTTACAAATAGCAGCTTAACCCACTGTCCCAAACAAGCCTGTGCTCTAAATTTTTAAAGTCATGAATTTATAAATAAATTCTCACCTAGATCTTTCATAGAAAGATAGGATTGTTAATATAGGCAACATTAGCCTAGACCTCTGTGTTTATTCTACTAAATGAGCAGAAACATTTAACTCAATCATTAACAGAGAAATTCTACCTAATTTAGCATTGAGGTTTAGTTTTAACTTTATCTGGATCTTCAGAAGTTCTTTATCATAGCCATCAGCTTAAGAATTCCTTCTTCAGTTGGCATCATATAGCTAGCTGTAAGTTGAGAACCAAACTTGCCAAATCGTCTCCCTAAATCCTACAACACCATCAGGTGGTGGGTATTGTCGTGTTGTTTTGCTTCTTTACAGAGAGAAGGGAGAGAGAGCTCTCGCATCCACTGGTTCACTGTCCAGGTGGCCACAACGGCCAGCACTAGACCAGCCAGGAGCCAGGAGCTTCGTTCAGGTCTCCCCGATGCATGCGGGGGCCAAACGTTTGAGCCATTCTCTGTTGCCTTCCCTGGGCCATCCGCAGGGAGCTAGATCAGAAGTGAAGCAGCTGGCAAATGCATCCCTTGCCCAGATGGAATGCCAGCATCACAGGCAGGCGCTTTCCCCACTAATCCACAATGCTGGCTAAAGGAGGTATTTTTTTTTTAAAGATTTATTTTATTTTTTTATTGGAAAGGTGGATATACATAGAGGAGAGACAGAGAGGAAGATCTTCCGTCCGATGATTCACTCCCAAAGTGAGCGCAACAGCCGATGCTATGCTGAAGCCAGGAACCTCTTCCGGGTCTCCCACACGGGTACAGGGTCCCAAAGCTTTGGGCCGTCCTCGACTGCCTTCCCAGGCCACAGGCAGGGAGCTGGATGGGAAGTGGGGCTGCCGGAATTAGAACCGGCGCCCATATGGGATCCCGGGCGTGCAAGGCGAGGACCTTAACCACTGTGCCACCACGCCGGGTCCGAGGTATTTTTTTAATTAACATTTTTGTATCCATTCATTTATAAGGCAGAATTAGAGAGGGAGGGAGAGACTTAAGGAGAGAGGTTGGTTTACTCCCCAGTTGGCCACAATGGTCAGGGCTCGGCCTTTCTGATGCCAGGAGCTAGGAGCTCGTCCCAGGTCTCCCAAGTGAGTCAGGGACAAAAGCACCTGGGCTGTGTCTCCTGGTTTCTCAGGTGTGTTAAACAGGGAGCCGGATTGGGAATGGAGCAGCTGGGGACTCGAACCTGTTCCCATATGGGATGCTGGCACTGCAGCTGTCAGCTTTATCCACAATGCCACAAGGCCAGCTCCAATTTAGGTTTTTTTTTTTTTTTTCTTTCCCAATAAGTTGAAGAAGTTGTAGGATTCAGAAAGCGTGAATAAGCTGCGCCACACAGCCGCTCATCAGCCTTTGGTTTTAGCTGCTGTCTCCAGTTGAAGATGATTTTTAAAACTTCATTTTTGCCTCCAGGTGGTTTTGTTGGTTTGTTTAGACTGGAGTGGAGAACGCTTTTTGCTGCCAAGAGCCATGTGGATATTTATAATGTCATTGCTGGGCCATACAAAATGATCAACTTAAAATGAGCCTGCTGTAGAGTGACTGAATGTTCAAGTCCTGCCTGTAGTTGCCTTGGCAGGGCCCTCTGCAGCCCACAGGCCAGCCAGGCCAGCCTGATTCCCACAGTCAGGTCGCAGAACCTCGCTGTTCAAGTCTCCATGAAAACAGGGATATGGGGAAAAGTACAAATAGAAAACTGATTGATTTAGCTCCACTTGGCTTAATTAAACTTCATGGTCTCTGAGTTATCCTTGTTTCTGTTTAGGTATTTCAATTTATCTTTTAAGAAAATTGCTAAACTTGAAATTTAAAAAAACTCATGCTATGATAAAAGATGTGAGTTACAAAGCTGCTAACAGCTCTGTTTCCGGTTCCAGGAGGAAATGGCAACCCTACGAGGCTCTGAAGTTAATGTTTTAGACCCTTGAAAGAGATTAGAAGGCATATGATTTAGGAGTGGTGATTCGCCTGAACTCTCCAGCTTAAAGTGGGCTGTGTGCTCTGGAGTCTGGGCTCATTTTATTTGCACATGCAAATGTCCATCCCGCCCTATGCGGCCTCGGTGTAGCCTCAGAGCACACCTATCCTTTAGACACTGCAGGGAGAATCCCGTTTGAAAAGACAGGCCTGGACAGTGGGGAGCAGCCTGCGTTGCCCACCGCGGTCATCTAGCAAAAGGAAGCCTCCGCGTGCAGCTGGGCTTCCCATGGGAGCGGCAGCAAGATGGCGATGCGCAAGAGGCGGATCGAAGGTTCCACACCTCGCGGGCGCTCCGCTTTGGCCCCCACTGCAAACCAGTGTTTATCTGCTGCCGCCCTGTCCGCCGCGCTCTGGGCTGCCGTGGTCAATGGCCTCTATCGGCAGCCAGGGTGTAGCTTCCTCTTGCCATTTCCTCCTTCTCAGGCTCGTTTCCTCTTGGAGCCAGCTCTGCACGTCAGGGGCCATTCTGCCTGCAGGAAGGGTCGGCTCGCAGCCCCGCGATTGTTTCTATGGCGCCCCAGGTTAGGGGCAGCCAGGTGTTGGAATGGACTGGAGGGTCACTCCCTTGAAGGGGTGGGGGACCCAGATTCAGCCTTCATGGGGTTTTTGTTGTTTTTTAGCCCTGTCTGGACCCCGAGTTAAACACTGACTCAGCCAAAGTCCCCACCCCTCTCTGGAGAGCCCCCCCCCCCCCGTGACCCGAGGAGACCTGTTGGGCTGGTGTCTGATGGGGACCATGGGGAGTGGAACATGGGTGGGGCCAACTCAGCCTAAATCCCCAACCCTCTCTAGAGAGGACCTCCCACTGAACCCTCTCCTAGATGCTGTAATTAGATTAAGTCTCCATCTTAATCTCAATTGGCGTAATTGGGCATCAAGTTCCCCCTGCAAACGTGACCCCTGGGTGGATATCCAAACCATTATGCAACTCATAACAGGAAGAACGACAGGATTTTAAGGTGCACGGAAAATGGGAATAAACAATATTTGGGTGTAGAAAATATTTGAAAATTCTTATTATACATATATTACATCGACTTTTTGACCCTTGTGCATTTTAAACTTTGGGGGGGGGGTATTGAAATAAACTCAATTCAATTTTCCATGAATTTTTTTAGAAAGATTTATGCTATTTATTTGAAAAAGGGAGGGAGAGAGATTTTTTCCATTCACTGGTTCACTCTCCAAACCAGGGCTGACTCAGGCTGAGACCAGGAGCCAGGAACTTCTTTCAGGTCCCCCACATGCGTGCAGGGGGCTAAGTGGTTGAGCCGTCCTCCACTGCTGTCTCAGGAGCATTCATAGTGACCTGGCTTGGAAGTGGAACAGCTGGAACTTGAACAAGCATCCTGGTGGGCTGCCGGCAAGGTAGGCAGTGGCTTAACATGTTGAGCCACAGGGCCGGGCCCTCCAAGCACTTTTTCAAGTAGTATCCTTTAAGGACCCCATTCCACAAGGAAATCTCGAGGAAGGAAGAACTCAAGATTCTAATCTCTGTCTGTCATTATAATACAGTCTCATTTGAATTTCCTTGGGAGCTGGCTTCCTGCCATCTGACGGTTGGAATCAACTCCTTGAACTTGGGGTGTCACTGGGGCAGGGTTGAACTGGGGACCCCAGCCCGTGCAGACATTCTCGGTGAGGGTAAACAAGTTTCCATCAGAAACCCAAGAACTCGAAATTCATCCTTGGAATGCCTTTGTGTTTTCTACTTCCTTTCTCTTAGTTCTGAAGGAAAGTTCTTTTTTAGGAATGCCAGCCTTATCTTAATTGAACCAAGAACAGAGTATGTTTTTGTTTCTTGCTTTCCCGTTGCTCTGTCTAGAAAAGGCAAAGAGGGAGGGGGAGGCCTAAGAACTGGAGAGGGACTCCTGACCTCAGGCGACCCCCACCCCTGCGCCCCGGCACCTGACCTGGCCTGGGCACTCACTGGAGTTGGTGATACCAGGCTTTGAGATGCAGTTGGACCCCCCTTTATTGAGAAACAGGGGATTCATTTAATTTTGCTGGAAAGCCAGATTTACTGAGAAGAGAGACAAATCTTCAGCCTGCTAGTTCACTCCCCAAATGGCCACAATAGCCAGAACTGAGCCAGTCTGAAGCCAGGAGCCTCTTCTGGGTTTCCTACGTGGGTGCAGGGTCCCAAGGCTTTGGGCCGTCCTCCACTGCTTTCCCAGGCCACAAGCAGGGAGCTGGATGGGAAGTGGAGTGGCCGGCACATGCACAAGTGCCTAAATGGAACACTAGCACTTGCAAGGTGAGGATTTAGCCACAGGTGGACCCTTGGCCTCGGATTGGGCCTAGCTCTGACAGGCCAGCCTTCAGAAAGCAGGGAGGTGTACAGGGCAAGCTGTGAGCTGTGTAGGAGGTTCCTGGGCGCAGCTGCTTCTGGGGCTGTTAGAGCCACCCCTGAGGCCGCTCCCCAGATCAGGGAAATGGGAACTCACAGTGGTGGGGCCCGACCGGAGCTTGCGCTGCAGCTCCTGTATGAGCCCTTGAGCGTGGACCAGGAAAGAGCTGGGCCCCACGCAGCACAACTGCAACCTTGCCCCAAGGACAGATTTTTGAATCTAGTGTCTTCCTCTCATGTGTTGTGTTCCTTGGCATCAAATAGATGGTTCTTCCCGTTAAAGTTCACTGTCTGTTTCTAAGCGACAGCAAAGTCTTGCATCGTGTCTTCCCACGGTGCCTCTGTCCTCAGATCCCGTTGCTAAGCACCTGTGTATTCCTCAGCCCTCGAGGCCACCCGCAGTTAGACCAGGAGCTATGAGCCTCTCTGGTCTCAGGTTGGCCCCCCTCTCCCCTGTGGCTGCTATCATTCCCACAGCAGACCACCCCTCCACATGTGAGTCATCCCACGTGTGGCAAGCACCTCCTGACCCACAGTGTCCCCTGCCACTGAAAGTTCTAGAACTTCTTGCCCTCCCCCACTCCTCCCATCCATCCATCCATCCATCCATCCATCCATCCATCCATCACTCCCCGTGGCAGCCACTCCTTCACACAGCTGTGCTTACAGCTGTTTCCTGCCCTGGTAGCCTGCACCAGTTCAGCAATACACAGCATCAGTCAGTCCATGCTGTGGGAGAAGGGCAGAGGGGTTGGCACAGCTAAGCCCCCCGCCCAGTCCACCCTGTGGGGGCATTGGAGGAGATGGTGGGCAGGAAAGGATGGGTTAGAGTTCAGAGGATTTGTAGGTTTCTAGGACACTGGTGGGCATGAAGCGCTTCTGTTCTGTGTGATTAGAGCCAAGAGTTCGATGCCCACAGGCAAAGGCAGGATGGCATTGAAACAGTGAGAAGTGGAGACAGACAGCCTATGCCTTCCTCAGCAGGTGGCAGTGTGGAAATAGACACTGCAGAGTGTGGGAGAGGGAAGTGGTGAGATGAGCTGCTGGCACGTGGGTCCAGCTGGATGGAGGCCAGGTGCAAGGCAAGCGGGAGGCTTCCTGCCAGGCATTGAGAAGCGGCACCCTGTGACGCTGGGCTGGCCTCTGCCACCAGCTCTGGCAGTCCAAACTCCAGCCTCAGCTCCTGTCCCACCCAGCAAGCTTGATCCTGGTCAGGCCCCACACACCACTCCTGCCGTGCTGCTGTACTTAGCTGGCTGGTTGCTTGGTTTATATCAGTTTTGTTGTTGTTGTTGTTGTCTCCCCCCAGCCCATGGTTCTTTGCTGGTTTGTGCCCACTGGTTTACTCCTTAAATGCCTACAACATTCCTAGGCCAGTCCAGGAGCCCGAAACTCAATCCAGGTCTCCCTCATGGGTGGGCAGTGACACAGCTTTCTTAAACTAACTCTTGCTGCCTCCCTGGGGGCATTGCAGCAGAATGCTGGATCAGGAGCAGGACTGGCATTCTGACACAGAATGAGGGCGGCTTTTCTGCCAAGCCACGCGTGCACTGGGGTTGGAGGTATCTTCCAGTGAGATATGAATGTAACTGTTTTTAAACTTGATTATGGAGTTAGCGCAGTGGCATAGCAAGCTAATCCTCTACCTGTAGCGCTGGCATCCCATATGGGTGCCAGTTCGTGTCCCAGCCACTCTGCTTTTGACCCGGCTCTCTGCTTATGGCTTGGGAAAGCAATGGAGGGAGGCCTAAAGCCTTGGATTCTGCACTCATATAGGAGACCCAGAAGCCACTCCTGGCTTTGGATCTGCCACTGCAGCCATTTAGGGAGTGTATGGAAGATCTCTGTCTCCTTTCTGCATAAAATCTCCCTTTCAAATAAACAATTCTTGGGGAAAAAAAGAAGACTGTTGATTACAAGTATTCACTGCCTGCAGAATAAGCTAAGCATTTCTTCCTTGCCTGGCTCACCTGCTGCGGTTTCTCCCACGGCCTCTCCGGGGCATGCTGTGCTGCAGGCTGTTGTGCCCCACCCCCTTGTGGGAGCAGGCCCTCTCTGCCCTCTGGTTGGCAATGGCCTTGTGTGTTGGAGTCAGATGGTCCTCCGTCTCTCTTCTACTTGGAGCTGTCCAGGTGCTGTAACTGAGGTGGTGGAGCCCCGCTTCCTGCTTTTGGGGCCAGGCTTCCCACACATCGACGGGCAACAAGCGTCAGTGTCTGTGGCGTGTCATGGAGAGCTGGCGAAAGTGGCAGCACCGTGCAGCAGCGCGTGGCACAGGCCACCCCACCAGTCAGCGCTGGCTGCTGCGTTACAGCTGTTTGCCCTCACACCTCTGCTGCTTTTCCCCATGAAACCTGCTGTAAGTGCTGCTTGTGCAAGGGCCTGGCTGCCCCAGTGCTGGGAAACAGCCCAGAAGTGAAGAACTGTGCCATCTGGGCTGGAGGGGAGGTGCTACTCTATGTTTTAGGCACCCTGTTGATTTTTTTTAACTTTTTTAAAAATTTAAAAATGTTTTTAAACTTTTGCTAAGATTTCCAAACTGCATGGGTGCCCGGGCACCCCGGGGCAGGAGCTCTCTGCACCTGTGTGGTTCCTCCTTATCTCCTTCCTCCCCGTCCTCCTCCTCCATGATCCCATGCCTGGCCCAGCGACCCGAGGGAGGAAGGCCCTTTGCTGCGCAGCCCAGCTGGCCCACCTGGGCGCCCCCCGCCCCCCCGGCCTGAGGTGCCTTTCTTCCCCACTCAGCGTGTCATGGGAGGGCTGTGTCATTTCAGAAATCCGGCGCCGCGGCTCCAAGGACCCCCTGGTGAAGGCCCTTCAGCTGCTGGACGGCCCCTGCGAGCCCGCGGAGGGCAACGGCGCCAAGGCGGAGGCGGCCAAGAGACGGAGCTCCAAGGAGCTGCTGGGCAAGGCGCCGCAGCTCTACGACACGCCCTACGAGCCTGCCGACGGCAAGGCGCGGCCCCCCGACAGCCGGCTGCCCGAGAACGACGAGCGGCCGGCGGCGGAGTACGAGCAGCCCTGGGAATGGAAGAGAGAGCAGATCGTGCGGGCGCTGTCAGGTGAGGGCAGGACGTCGGGCTCCCCGAGGAGGCAGAGGACCAGGTGGGGCGCGTCTGGCCTAAGTTATCGACACTGACCTTGGAGTGGGTGGTATTCAGCTTTGTGCAAATGCATACTTTGTTGGGTAATGCCACCCACGTGAGAGACCTGTGTGGAGTTAAATGTCTGGCTTCCCACTTTCTCAGGTCGTTTTTTTTTTCGGGGGCGGTGCGTCTGGGGTAGCAAACCAGCAGATGGGAGCTCTGTCTGTTGATCTCAAGTAAACATTAGTTTTGTTTTGTTTTGTTCTTTAAAGCTTGGGGGGCCAGGCATTTAAAATGAAAAGGAGAGGACTCTAGCACAGCAGATGCCGTGCTCTACCCCAGAGAAAGGAGCCTGGTTTGCATTCTGCCGCCAGCAGGTGCCAGGCTGGGACATTCGGACTCCAGCCACCCATGCTGGAGTTAGTTAGAGACTCCCAGCCTGATTCAGCCCTGCCCGCGGTGAGCACACGGGGAGTGACCAGCGAATGGGCACCCTTGCTAGCTCTGTGTCAGCCTCCCGAGTGAGCAAGCAGTTTTATTGGCACCGATTGTACCCATCGTGGAAGCGTAGTGTGATGTCTCAATCCACTGTGGTTGTCCTTGGCCACCGCGTGGTCTCACTCTGGCATGGAAAACAAAGACCTGAGGACCAAGTCCATGGTGGGATGAGGGTTGCTGGGGCTGGAGAGGGTGGGGAGAGGCAGGTGCATGGATGCGAAGTTACAGTTAGGTTCTGGTAACACCTGGTACCTACAGGTGACAGTGATTGATTTTTCTTTTCTTTTTTTCTTTCTTCTTTCTTTTTTTTTTTTTTGAGAGAAGGAGAGACAGGAACGATTTTGCAGCCTCTGGTTCACTCCCCAGGTGGCCCAAATGGCCAGAGCTGAACTGATTCAAAGCCAGGAGCCAGAAGTCTCCTCCGACTCTCCCATGCGGGTTCCAAGGCTTTTAGGCCATGCTCCACTGCTTTCCCAGGCCATAAGCAAGGAGCTGGATGGGCAGTGGAGCACTTGGGACACGAACTGGCACCGATATGGGATCCCAGTGCATGCAAGGCAAGGGTTTAACTACTAGGCAATCCTTTCAAATGAACCAGGGAAGGAATTTTGACTGCTTTCCAAATGTGCTTTCTTTATGTTCCCCATTGGGTGTCTTTCTCCCCGCCCAAGCATGTTGACATGGGGGCGAAGAGCTTAGCTCTAAGGAGCAGGCCTAGCTTGTTGTGCTTCTCTCTGATCCTTTGCCGAATGCAGCTGTGCCAAAGCTGCCTCTGATGCCTGTTAAATGATCCGAGCTGGTCACTCGTCTTCCACCAGAGAAGCTGCTGGCTTGGCAGCAGCTTTGCTTTTATATCGATTTTTTTCCCCCCAAAGATTTATTTTTTTAATCTAAAAGGCAGAGGGACAGGGAGAGACCAAGAGCCTTCTTCCATTGCTTCACTACATACACTAATGCTGAGTGTGGGATGTGACACCACCCTGGATGCCACCCGGCTGCCTGGGGGGCGCTTTCTCTCAGCTTGGCTCTGTCCCATGTGCTTCATCCCATGAAAACCCCTGTCTATGAAATGGCAGTGCTGGAGAGAGTGGGCTACAATGGGAAAGCCAGATGAAGTTGGGATTTCTGCCTGGTTTTCAAAATCCTCCTTTAAAAAATCAATTCTAGGAAGCAGTGCTGTGGTGTAGAAGCTTAAGCTGCTGCCTGCAATGCCAGCATCCCATAAGGGTTCCAGGATGACTCCTGGCTGATTCATTTCCCGTACTAGTCCCTGCTAAGGTGCCGGAGAAAGCAGTGGAAGATGACCCAAGTGCTTGGGCCCCTGCCCCCACTGTGGGAGACCCAGAGAAGCTCCTGGCTCCGTCCTGGTCTTGCTCCATCCCTTAGGGCTGTTTTGGGGGGGATAAACCAGAGGCTGGAAGATCTCTTCTCTCTTTAACTGTGCCTTTCAAAAAGTTCACAGAAAATGAAAGAGAGAGAGATCTTCCATCTGTTAAGTCACTCCCCAAGCAGACATAATGGCTGGAGCTGTGCTGATCCAAAGCCAGGAGCCTCCTCTGGATCTCCCATGTGGGTGCAGGTTCCCAAGGCTTTGGGCCATCCTTGACTGCTTTCTCAGGCCACAGGCAGGGAGCTGGATAGAAAGCAGGGATGCTGGGATTAGAACCGGCGCCCATATGGGATCCTGGCGCGTGCAAGGAGAGGACTTTAGCTGCTAGGCTACTGAGCTGAGCCCGAGATCCTAGTGATTTCATTGCTCCAAGATTGAGGAAATCCTTCCAAGGTCCATTGGCTGACATAGTCCACACTAGGGTGTACACTAACCCAGGACACTGGCTATCAAAGCTTAGCTTGGAGAGCTATTAATTTATTCTACTTCCATTGAAAGGTGGATTTTACAGTGAGAGAGAGAGAGATCTTTCATCTGCTGGTTTGCTTCCCAAATGGTTGCAGCAGCCGGTGCTGAGCTGATGTGCAGCCAGGAGCCAGGAGCCTCCTCCAGGTCTCCCATCTGGATAAAGGGACCCAAAGACCTGGGCCATCCTCTGCCACTTTTCCCCGGCCAGAAACAGGAAGCTGGATTAAAAGTAGAGAAGCTGAGATGTGAACTAGTGCCCAAAAGGGATGCCGGCACTAAAAGCAGAAGGTTAGCCTGTTATGCCTCCACATTGGCCCTGCAAAAGTTTATTTTAAAGACAGTTCTTCAAGTCTGAATTTTTAAAATACATTAAAGTTGGTGAGTAGATTGTGAATAAATAGTCAAGACATTTATTTTGCTTTTGACTTAAAATTTGAGGAATACCTCTTCCCTCCAGTGGTAAAAATCGGGCTTGCAATTAAAAATGCAGCTGATGCCATGGGCTAACAATTTGTTTTGGATGTGGTGTGGATTTCAACAAGCGCCCTGGGTACCTGTGTTGGCCCTGTTGGCGCTGGTAGTGTCATTTCCTCCTCCTTTCTGGCCAGCCTGGCTGTCTTCCCCGCTTTAAGGTATTGCTTCTTGGTATCTGTTGCTTTCTCTCCCCCACCCCCCCATTTTTTCAAGATTTATTTATTTTTATTGGAAAGGCAGATTTATTGAGAGGAGGAGTGAGAGATCATCCATCCACTGGTTCACTCCCCACATGGCTGAAACAGCCAGACCTGAGCTGATCCAAAGCCAGGAGCCAGGAGCTTCTTCTGAGTCTCCCACGCAGGTGCAGGGTCCCAAGGCTTGGGGCCGTCCTCAGCTGCTTTCCCAGGCCACAGTAGGGAGCTGGAAGGGAAGTGGAGCAGGTGGGATACGAACCAGCACCCATATGGGACACTGGCACTTGCAGGCAGAGGATCAGCCAATGAACCATTACACCGACCTGCTCTGTTTTGCGAGGCTGTTCCTGCTTGTTATTTGGTAGGAAAGGCTGCACATTCAGGTTCCTGGCCCTCTCGCTTGTGCCTGGGTTTAGGCTTGTGCCCTGGGCATCGCGCGCTGGGTCTCAGTCAGAGGGATCCTCCCGTGTTCTAAAATGGAAGTGGCTGCCTGCGGCATCGCCTCCAGCAGGCAGGTGCTGTAGTGTGGGAAGAAGGCTGCTGCCTGTTCCCGTGTGCTGGCCCTGAGGGTAAGTGGTGTGGTCTTTGCAGTCCAGTTTGAAGGAGCTGAGCGGCCACCTGGCAAGGAGGAACCAGCGAGGCAGCACCACCGGCAGAAGAGCTGGACCCAGAAAATCCTGAAGCCAGCCCTGTCTGACCATGGCGAGGGGGAGAAGGTGGACCCGGGCCTGCCCCTGGAGAGGCAGCCGTGAGTGCCCTACGAACTACGCCCCCCACTGCCCTACAGTACACAGCAGGATTTACAGAGAGGAGATACAGGAATAAGATCTTCCATCCACTGGTTCATCCCCCATGTTGCTGTAATGCCTGGAGCTGAGCTGATCTGAAGCCAGGAGCTTCTTCCTAGTCTCCCACACAGGTGCAGGGTCCCATGGCTTTGAACGATCCTCCACTGCTTTCCCAGGCCACAGGCTGGGAGCTGGATGGGAAGTGGAGCAGCCAGGACATGAACTGGCACTGATATGGGATCGTGGTGGTTCCAAGGCAGGGATTTAGCCACTAAGTTATCGCGCTGGTCCCAAAGTCATGTTTTCAATTCCGTCCTCCTGTACAGAGGGAAACTGGCCCATAGGCTCACTCTTGTTGGACCACAAGGAACATCCCCTCCACACACACCTGCAGACACACCAAGATCTGCATGTTGTCTGTCCCAGGCGGAAACAGGATCTGGTTAGGGCTGTGGCTGAGTCTGCAGCAAGTGGTGCTTTGCGGGATGGTGCCTGCTGTGTGTTTGGGTGCTGACACCCATGGCACCTCCCCTACCCCCTTTGGCAGGTGGTACCACGGCGCCATCTCCCGGGCCGAGGCCGAGAGCCGGCTCCAGCCCTGCAAGGAGGCCGGCTACCTGGTTCGAAACAGCGAGTCAGGGAACAGCAGGTACTCCATTGCACTCAAGTGAGTATCTGAGCCGGGGTCTCCCTGTCCTTGGGGCAGGCAGAGGGTGGGTGCCCTGTCCCCGGGAGATGCTCAGTTCCCAGGAGAGACCGTGAAGCGCTCCAATGACGGTGCAGGAAGGGTTAGATGGACATCCTGCTTCTGCTGCTATGGGGGGGGATGGGCGCCCTGCATGGTGGCCAAGGGACATGGCTCCATTTCCACCTCACTCTGCTGGTCTGCAGAGGCCCCTCTCGGTGGAGACCAACAGTGTAATTCCTACAGGACAAGTCCCTGTGCTTGTGGTTCCTCACCCCGGGGTGGGTTTCACTACCTCAGATGCCACCTGCCACTCAGACACCAGTGGTCTTCCCAGTGAAGAAGGAAGTCCCCGCCTACCTCCTCCGCCCTCCCGGCCTGGCGCTGCGCAGACAGCCACAGCCCAGCCGAGCGCGTGGCTCATGGAAATTCCCGCTGCTCCGGTAGCTCGGTGCCACTGTATGGGAGGATCATTGTCAAGAGCTCCAACAGCGTTTCCTTCCTCAGGAAGCTGGGCCCCTGCCGCTCAAACAATCAGGCTGCAGGGGAGGGCGGAGGGGGTCGGCAGCGCAGCTCCCTGCGCGGGAGCAGTGAGCAGCCTGGACTGGTGCAGCTGTGCCCGCTGGGGAATCACTCCTGTGTACCCCCTGATGCTGGGACCGGGGTTCACAGCCCGGAGCCCTTGGTGCCAGCTAGTGGCAGCGGCAGCACACCCCACCAGGCAGGGTCTCTGCAGTGAGGACATGGAGGCTTGTCATTGTCACTACCCCTGCTAGGGGCTGCATCCCCATGTTCATTTTTTTTGGAAAGAAGTGAAAAGAGCCCTCCCGTGTGTCTTGTAGCCTGAGTGACGAGGGTGGGTACGCGGAAACCTTGCTCAGATAGCCCCATGCTGGGGTGTGAGCGGCTGGCTTTACAGCTGGGAATGCTGCAAGGGGGCCGGCACTCGCCCCTCAGCTCAGTCCCTGAAGGCGGGTGAGCAGTTAGCACAAGCCTCTTCAAGGTGGGCTGCGCGTTCAGGCCGCGTGGTTGGGGTGCTCCACCGCTGCTGGGAGGGCCGTGCACTGGTTCCTCCCGTCCATCCTGGAAGGGGATGACACAGTCCTCACCCCCACCCCCTCCATGCTCACGCCCTGGACCGCCTGCGATTCCAGCTAGCATCATGCCGGCGGGAAGAGCCCCTCACCCACTCACTCGGTTCCCCTCTTTATCGTCTGTTCTGTTTCAGGACCAGCCAGGGATGTGTCCACATCATCGTGGCCCAGACCAAAGACAACAAGTACACGCTGGACCAGACCAGCGCTGTGTTTGGCAGCATCCCGGAAGTGGTGCACTACTACTCCACCGAGAAGCTGCCCTTCAAAGGCGCCGAGCATATGACCTTGCTCCATCCCGTGCACAACAAGCTGCACTAAGACTGGTCCTAGTCACCCTAACGCCCCCGCAACTCCCCGGGCCCGGGGCATCCCCCCACCCCGACCCCAGCCAGCTCCTCTGGGATAGTAGCAGGTAGCAATGGCCTGGCCCAGGCAGCGCGCCCTCCGTGGCCCTGCTGTCTGCTCTGTCCCTCTCCTTACCTCTCCACAGCGCCCTTGCTGGCTCCTGCAGCGTGGGGCAGGCTGATCTGTGTGCCCTGGGCCCCACTCCCACCCCGGGGGAGGGATGTCGAAGATCCAGGAGCCCTCCAGAAACACACTGTTTGCCACCTGGGACATTGCTGTCCTTGTAAAGCCACAGAAGAGCTAAGTGGCAGTGTGGCGCATGGCTCGTTGCCAGAGGATGGCGGCAGTCACGTCTGGGGGAGCCGGAGGTCCTTTTTGACGAGGTGCCCCAGCTCAGCGCTGTTGTTCAGGAGATGCTTATCTCTGGGGTCGGACACTAGGACTGCTCATGGCTCGGCTTTCTGAGACAGCAGGTGTCCTCGGCCCCACGGACAGTCTCATCGGCTTTTCAGCTAGTCCGTGGCCAGAGCTTCTACAGAATGAGGAAGATGCCCCAGACTTACGAGTCACCGATGGGATGTAAAGCAGCCGGAGCGTATAATAATAACGACGAATGAGAGAATTATACTGCTCCTCCAAAATGGCATTTCTGGTTTCCCAGACGCTGCTGATTGACGAAGCTCTGCTGTCTTTGGTTTTGTCTTTGTGTATTTGAGTTGCTACGGCACCATTCAGGACTTCTCTGCATTTGGCTTTGTATTTTGAGTACATGTAGAAGCAAAAGGCAATCCCTGGGACCCGACTGTGGGGTGTGGGTCTCCATACTGCCCGAGATCCCACGTCGGATCCCCAACACCTGCCAGGTAGAGTGCGGGTGGAGCATTGCCAGTTAGAGAAGGTGAGAGGAAGGCCCCGGGGTGGACGCAGTGGCCAGCGATGCTGTGACACACAGGGAGGACGCAGTGGCACTGTGACAACCAGTGGAGGACACGGCAGCCAGTGGCACTGTGACACACTGAGAAGACACAGTGGCCAGAGGATGCCTCTGTCTTCCGTGGTTTGGGGTCAGCTGCCATGCGGGTCCAGGTGCCCGCGTGCTGTCCTCTGCGAGCCTTGGACTCCTGTAAACTTCTTTTACACATGCGTAAAGACATGGACCGAGTAAATTGAGGAAACACGTATCCTGCTAGTTAGCATCGTTTGACTATTAGGATTCTAGAAGTTCGTAAATTGTTGGCATCTTGATTTTTCAACAGTTTGAACACAAACTCACTGGTTTTATTAATAAAGAACATCCCGCGTTTTGCATACGGATAGAATGTAATGAGCATCGGTTCCTATGCCACATCGTCCACGCCAGGTGTTCTGTGCAAAGGCTCAGCATCTGCTCAGCTTGGATTTATCGTCTTCTGTGTGTGAGACCTTCCTTGTGTCAAGCTAACCTGTGCCTCACCTTTCCCAAACAAGCCTTATTTCTTGCTTACCCTTATTCCTTTAAGGAGACACACAGTTGTCCTCATCTCAATAAATGCTACCAGTGTGTAAAGTTTGTCCCTGTGCACTCCCTGGCTGTTGGCCCGCGCCTAGTGACACGGGACAGCCGTGTGACAAGCTCACGGAGTGCAGACACACCTGTTAGAGCTGCTGACCCGTGCCCAGGCTGAGGCATCCTCCAAACTGCTCTGCGTCGGACGGAATGTGGCGGAGACCCAGCGTTCACGTGGAGTCCCAGCCACTTCCCAGCTGTCAACGAGGCTGTAACCAGAAATGGCAGTGAGTGAGGCGCAGGCCTGGGCGGTGGTCAGCTGCTGTTTTCTGCTTTAGGGACTGCTGAGGCGCAGCTGGGTGTTGGACACGCGCAGGCCCAGCAGGGGGCGCCCGAGGGCCTCTTTGGCAAGGCTGGGCGTCCACTGACTGGCAGCTCCAAGACTGCCCAGCTCTGAGGGCAACTGCCCTCAGGTGCCAGCTGCGTTTGTCACAGGCGCCTCTGGGTCTGTTAGGTCATCGACACAGAGTCTATGACTCAGGACATTTCTTCTGACATTGCCACCAGTGTAGCAGGTGAACTCCCAGGGTGAATTCACACCACTGGAGTGGTGTGTTTGCACCGCGCAAATGTGGAGAAGGAAGTGTTCTGCCCACATGCCACCGGGAAGCACTTCTTCACAAAGATGTATTTCTCTATTTGAAACCCAGAGTTACACTTGAGCTGGCGAGAAGCGAAGAAAGAAAAGAGCTCCCACCCTCTGGTTCACTCCCCAGACAGCCTCCACAGCCAGCCCCGGGGCCAGAACAAAGCCAGAACGGAAGCACTTCATCTGGGTCTCTCATTTGGGTGAAGGGGCCCAAGGGCGTAAGCCACCTTCTGCCACTTTCCCACATGCATTACCAGGGAGCTGGATTACAAGTGGAGCAGCTGGGACTTGAACCAGTGCATATATGGGATGCTGGCGCCGCAGGCAGAGCTTCATCCACTCCACAGCGCCAGCCCGGAGGCAGTTTTGTTAAGACGTCTCCATAAGGGGGCCTGGGTCTTTGCTTTGGAGGCTGACTGTGTTCACTTGGTGGGCTGTCGCCATGATGGCGCCAGCTGGAGGGCCAGCCACGTGTTGGCGGGGCAGGTGGGAGGAACCTGCTTGTTTAACGAAGTCACTGTGCCCTGGCCGGTAGGGCTGACGTTTAATCTAGAACTGTGACTTTTCACATGAGGGTGGCCATTCTTGCAGCAGTAGATGTATTTCCCGCACAGTTCAGGGGAAGACAAAGCAGAGACGGTCCCATCGCATTTTTTCTCCCATTTTTAATCCTCTGCTTTGCTTTGCTTTGGTGTTTAGCCGACTCTCCTTGATGGCTTTTTTGCCCCAGATGCTTCCCATTCACAAGTTGCCCCTTCCTGGTTTTCCATAAATCAACACTCTTTGGCATATTTAGATCCTAAGAATCGCTATGCTTTGATGCTCGTTCCAAATTTTGCGGCCCACTAGGTGGCCTTGGACAAAGAGGGTGGACAGCGGGCCTGGTACACCCGGCCCCTTGGGGGACTGGCCCAAAGATGGTGCGTTGCTGCCATCTAGTGGAAAGTGGAGACCGCTGCCGAGAAAGCGAAGAAGGAGCGTTCTTTCTCAGCAAGGTTTAGTTTAAAGCCGGCATCCCTGGGGCCTTGGGCGCCTGCGGTGCAGAAGCCCGGCTCTCTTTCCTGAATTTTCCGACAAGGAAAACTGATCCAGGTATTTCTCTTTGTCAGATGCTTAACCGTTTCAGTTAACTTTGTTGCCAGACGTAACATTTTACGTGTCCTCAATGTTAACCTTTTAAACAGCAGTTGAAGAAGGTCTGTAATTCAGGAGTCTGTTTGCAGGGCCTCAGTCCTTGACACAGTAGCAGAAGTAGCCCCGCTTTTTGGATGACAGTTGTCGCTGTAGCCTGCCTGTCTTCCCGAAGGGGGTTTATTCTGAAATGTAACTCAATAAATGCGATCCAAGAATGCCAGGATCAGGTGGCTTTCTTCACTTGAGACTTGCCTCCCTGCACTGCTTGCTCTAGTGGGAGCTCCGGCAGCGCCATCCCAGCTGCTCTGGGTGAGATGTGCAGGTGCCAGAGGTGGCCCCATCTTGCACTCACCTGCAGGGCCTGTATCTCCACAGAGGAGTTCCCCAAGCTCCTCCATCAGAACCTCTCCCAATGCCAGATCTCACGCACGCTGGCGGGCCCATGAGCCAGCCCTGTTTAGTCCGCTTCCATCCTAGCAGGGACAGTAGCCTTTCCTTACTGATCCTCACGCATTCTGGTTCTTACTGTTGGGTGCTACAGCCCAGCCAAGCCTGGTCCACACCCAGCCACAGCTCATGCATGGCTCAGCAGGGACAGAGACCTAGCCCAGCCCATCCTGGTTCTCACAAGCTCCAATGGGTGCTGCAGTCTAGCCCAGTCTTGCACATCCCCAGACCCAGTCCACACCCGTGTTGAGGGAGACTGCAGCCGTGTGCAGACCAGACCACCGCCTCCACTCTGGCCCTCGCACTCACCAGTGGGAACCACAACTCAGCTAAGGCATCCCCTTAGCTCCCTAACCAGGCCTGTTCCCAGCCACAGATCTTGCACATACCGGTAGTTACATAGTGCCTCACCTGTCTTAACCTCTGCCTTTGGATGCTACAGCCTGGCTCGTGCAAACCAGCAGGTGTGGCAGCTTAGCCCAGAATGAGCTGTACTCTCACCTGGATTCTGCACTTGCCAGTGGGCTAAGGTCTGCTTGACCCTGCCCGGTCTGCCCCCTTCCAAAAATCAGTCCACACACTTGTCGACAGCTACCTTGCCCAGCTTGCCCAACACCCAGGCCTTGGCCTTGTGCTCACCAGCAGGAATTATGAACCAGTGGAGGAGTTGCCCAAGTTCCCCCTACTTGGCTTACACATGCCAGCAAGTGCCAGACCCTCACCTGGCACAGCCTACCCCCTCCATCCCGCCTTTGTATGAGCTGGTGGATGATGCAACCTGGCCCACCCTACACCCTGTTTAGGGTGCACATGTGGGTGCTGCAATCTGTATCTGCCCAGCCTATTCTCAGTGAGTGTTGGTCGATTCCATGGTCATGCCTAGCTCAGCCCCTTACCACCCCAATTCTTAAACTATCCAGCAGGATTTGTATTTCCACAAGGATAGGCCCACATATCCTCTACAGAATCTACTCCTGGACCTGGTTCTTTTGAATGCTGATTGATGTCATGGCCTAGAATAATGTGATGCATCCACTGTTCTGACACTCATTGCCATGTTGTGATCTAGCCCTGCCAGACAGGCCCCCAGTCCTAGCTTTCAGATGGGCTGGTGTGTGGTGGTCAGCAATGCTCCACGCTAGCAAGCCCAGCTCAGGTCTCCCATGGTGGCTGGAGCCTTGTTCTGACCCATAAAGATCTTCACATTTTTCCCCTCCAAACCACCAGGTCCCAGTCCCCTCGCTTACCTGCAAGTACAGTGGGCTTGTCATTGGGAGTCCTGGAGTCATTCCTCACCTACATCTAGGGTGGCTTTTCCCAGGGATGTCCCTCAGCAGTAACTCCTTACCTGGGCATGAATCCACAGGTCATCGCTCACGCTCACCTGTGCAATTCACCAATCTCCTTGCAAATCCACAACCTCAAGTTCCTGGGGTGTGCTGTTGGCACCCGGGCTGCCCAGCCCAAAACCACCCCTGCCACCACCTCCTGGGCAGGGATAAAAAGACCCCAACAGGCGCCTAGAGTCACCCATGGCTCCTAAGGAGCATGAGGGCTCAAGGAGACTTCCCCATGCTTTAGTTCTGGTGGAGCTTCCCACTCGTGACCCTGGGAAGGCAGCACTTGATGGTCCAGCCCCTTGGGCCCCTGTCGCCCATACAGGAGATGCTGGCTTCTGCCAGGCCTAGCCCTGGCTTTTGCAGGCACCGAGGAGCAAAGCAGCAGATAGAAGATATTCTCTCTCTCTTTTTCCCCCTCAATCTCTGCTCCTTCAGTCATTGTGTCTTTCAAACAAGTAAATAAATCTTAAACAAAAAAGGTTGTAATTATTTAAAGAAAAAGTTGTCTCTGATTATAAAAAGATGGGGCCACATTATAAAAACGGTGGCACAGTAGGTAAAACCACAACCTGCTACACGGGCATCTCTTATGGGCATTAGTTCTTGTTGCAGCTGCTCCGCTTCGCTTATGGTCTGGAAAAACAGTGGAGAGTGGCCCAAGTCCTGGGGTCCCTGCACCCACATGACAGACCTGGAAGAAGCTCGGGGCTGCTGGCTTCAGATGGGGTTTTGCAGCCATTTGAAGAGTGAACCAGAGGATGTTCCCCCTCTGTCTCTCCTCTCTCTGTGACTGACTCTCAAGTAAAAATGAATAATAAATCTCAAAACAACAACAACAAAGCGGGCAGACCCCCAAGCGGCTTGCTGCTGAGGCAGGTGTTAGCCCAGAGGTTAAGACTCCCACATCCTGTATCAGGGTGCCTGGATTCGAGCCCACCTCCCTCCTGAACACTTCCAGCTGCTTGCTGACGCTCACCCTGAGAGGCAACAGGTGATGGCTCGGGTGCTGGGGTCCCTGCCACCTGAGTAGGAGACTTGGTGGGGTTCCCAGCTCCCGCCTTTAGCCTGGGCCAGCCCCCACTTGTGGCAGGCATTTGGGGACTGAACTAGAGGGAAAGCACTTTAATAAACAAACAAAGGAAAGGAAAATGGCTTACAGTGAAATAGGAAGCTGCATGTTAATAGTTTATTATAAAGAATGAGAAATTATTAAAAGATAAATTTATTTGAAATGCAGTCTGCTAGAGGAAGAGGGAGAGACAGAGATCTTTCATCCAATGGTTCACTCCCCAAATGGTTGCAATAGCTGGGGCCGGGCCACGTTGAAGCCAGAAGACATGAACCCCACGCAGATCTCCCACATGCACGCAGGGCCCAAGCCTTTGGGCCATCCTGCGCCTGCTTTCCCGGGGGCATTAGCAGGGAGCTGGATCGCAACAGAGTGGCTGAGACCAGGGTATTGCAACCAAGCATTAGAATCCCGTTTCTGGGGCCCGGCAGCATGGCCTAGCGGCTAAAGTCTTCAATTTGAATGCACCAGGATCCCATATGGGCACTGGTTCTAATCCCAAAGGCCCCATTTTCCCATCCAGCTCCCTGCTTGTGGCCTGAGAAAGCAGTCAAGGATGGGCCCAAAGCCTTGGGACCCTGCACCGCGTGGGAGACCTGGAGGAAGCTCCTGGCTCCTGGCTTTGGATCAGCACAGCACCGGCCGGTGCTCACTTGGGGAGTGAATCATCGGACGGAAGATCTTTTTCTGTCTCTCTTTCTCTCTGTATAAGTGACCTTCAAATAAAATAAATCTTTAAAAAAAAAAAATAAAAAGAATCCCGTTCCTGGCTGCCCCTTTATGGATTCTAGCTCTATAGTTTTAATGGGACACCCTCCAAAACGCAATAAGACCCCAAAGAGCTTCCGACGGCAGTGGCAAAGAACCAGAAATAAAACAGGCTTCAGGACAGTGTGTGTGTCTCAGTGAGTCATGTCCACGGTCAGGAGAAGGTCAGGTGTCTGTGTATGTGTAAGGTCCACTGGGCTGGATACTGCAAACAGGAAGTAGGCTGCTACAGCCACAAGCCACTGTGGGCACTGACCACCCAGGAAAGGGGGACTGACCAGCCCCCCAGGTCCCCTTGGAGACCATGAGCCATTTGGTGGAGTGGGGCTCCTGGAACCAGCGGATGACAGTGGCTACCACCTGCTGGCCCTCACCACCTGCTCTATAGTCAGGATTCTCTTCTGTATCCGAATGATGCCGTGAGGTACGTATTTGCACTGGCCATGGCCCGCATGTCTGAGGTCAGTAAGCTGTGAGATATCCAACCAAATGGGGAGGTGGGCAGAGCCCCCACACCTGTGTCTCCTGGCCCTGGGATTTGTGACTGTCTTATCTGCTACTTACCTCAAAGGGCCTTGCTCAACAGTCCCTCCCCCAGTCATGTGCCCCTTCCTGGGCTAGAGCGATGGGCAGCTCAGCCTCCCCACCCAAGGGGAGCTGCCCTGGGTCCCTCGCTGGACTTGTCATGCCCACAGGGGGTGAGTAGGGGTTAGAAGCTGAGCTCATGAAAGGCGAGTGCTGGCACACCCAGGGAAGGGCTAGGGCAGCCAGCCTCCCTTCCGCAGCCCCTCAAACACAGCACTGCACTGAACCTCATCGGCATATCTCGGCCCATCTGCGCCACTGGGCCATGCAGGCATGATCTGGCTTGCTCAGGCAGTCTGTCTGGTTCCGCCTCTGACCAGCACCCTTCAAAGTACTCACGTGGTGCTCCTTTGTGGAAATCCCTTCACGTCCCCTGGCTCAGAATGGACAGTCACCACACCATGAGTGGCATTCATTCAAGGGAAGCCGCCTGGGCCACACACTGTGCCAATGTGGGCATGGGAGGAGCTGGGGCCCAACTGGACCCATATGACCAACAAGCTGTGCTGCCTCCAGGAGTGAGGACATGTCAGGCTAGGGTGTCAGCAAGAGAGACCAGCAGTGTCCAGCAGAGAACGAAGGTGGAGGAGGGGAGATAGGAAGTGACCTCCAGAGGCCTGGGAAGGTGAGGGCAGGACCAGCTCGCAGGCAAGCAACGTTTGGGCACACCCTGCAAGGAGTAGCTCCGCAATATTCCGGCTATTTACATTTTTAAGAAAATTTGTTTAGTTTTACTTTGTTTTGAGAGGCAGAAATAGTTGGAGCTGAGCTGATTTGAAGCCGGGAGCCAGGAGCTTTTTCTGGGTCTCCCATGTGGGTGCAGGGGTCCAAGGACTTGAGCCATCCTCTGCTGCTTCCCCAGACCATTAGCAGGGAGCTGGATCAGAAGTGGAAGAGCCAGGATTTGAACCAAGGCCCATATGGGATGCTGGTGCTGCAAGTGGAGGATTAGTCTACACGTCACCACACCAGCCCCATCGGCAGCTTTTGAACCAATTTCAAGTTTCATAACAGGAACACCCTTAGCTGAAGATGAAACACACCTGTGTGCTCTTTCCCGCTTTTATTGAAAACACTCTTTTTCTCATGTTTCAGAACGAACTAGGGCATGGCTGAGGAAGGAAGTTTCGTTTCTTTATTAAGCAACATGCATGTGAAGGCAACCGTGACCTTCATAGGAAGCCAGGGGATGTTTTGAAGGTTGGGGCAGGGCTCGCTGCTCTACTTGCCATGTTTCAAGCCCCAGACTCCACATGCTGGGCCCTGGGCTGCTTGGTCCCAGCAGTCTGCCCTGGAATGGTTTACAGGCCTTGCACCTGCACACCTCTGCCACCACAGGGTGGCCAGCACTGCCTCCTGGCCTGCCTGGCCTTCAGACGTGTAGAACAGGTGTGGCTCCGTTGACAAGGAACCTGACCTAGCGCCAGAGCTCTGGATGCTCCACTTCAGATCCAGCTCCCTGCTGAAGTGCCAGGGAAAGCAGCAGAGGATGGCTCGAGCACCCACGGGCCCCCTGCACCCATGTGGGAGGCTCAGAAGCAGCTCCTGGCTCCTGGCTTCAGCCTGGCCCTGCCCTGGCAGTCGCAGTCATTTGGGGAACAGACTAGCAATCTCTTCCTCTATTTCCTTGTTTCTGTAACTCTTTTCAATTAAAAAATGTTGATCTGGGAACTGAATGTTCCTTGCCACATGTGTTCCCTGTATTGTCCCCATGTCACCCTAACAGGCAAGGAAGTGGTCCCTCTGCCCTGCCCCTTCCTGGCCGCTGTGGCCACTCCTGCACCCCTGGACCCTGTCCACACAGCCGCCCAGCACGGTGAACGTCTGGTGCCTCCGACCAGAGAGAGGAGAGAGCCAGGGCGGCCTCTTACTTTCGCTTTCAGTCTGAGTTTCCCAAGTGACAGACTTCCTCCTCCTCAGCCCCGGCGTCCCGAGGCTGCCTGCCCCCATCTGCCTGGAAGCTGTGAGTGGCCAGCTGCACAGAGAACCTTGGTGGTCCAGCAAGGTCAGGGTGAACGCGCAGCGGCACACACACTCCTTCGGGAAATCCCAGGATCCACTTTGGAAAATGCTTCCAGAGAAATCACTTCCTTCTCCAACTTCTCCCTCTCCTCTGCAGTCTTTACTGTTGCGTTGGGCAGAGCCCCCCAGACCTCCCAGAACGTCCCTATGGCTTGGTCTGTCTCACTCCAAACCCCTGTGAGCGAGTCCGGCAGGCCTCTCCTCTACACAAGCCAGATGCCCAAAGCAGAGTGACTTTTTAGAAAGCGTTTATTTAAAATATTTACAACTTTCATTTTAAATGCAAAAATAGCTGATATAAAATTGAGACAAACATATACTGACCTTTCACCCCATATACAAACATCTGTCTTTGGTAGTCACTTACAGGTAAATAGATTAAAAACAACAACAAACTAGTTCTCTCCTAAAGACAATACAGAGTTGAGGTATTCTATTGAACAGATATGATGTCCACCCAGTAAGATTCTCTTCCTCTCTCCCCTCACTGATAGCATTGCTCCACAACACCCCAGTCCCAGCCTTGCAAGCATATTGATGATGTTCCTTATTCGTTGTTAAACGGCCATAAAACTTCCTGGAGCTGGCGCCGTCACATGGAGGACACACAGAATGCTGGCAGGACATTTAAAGGACAGTCCAAGAGCATGTGGCATGGACTCTGAGATTCGAGGACCTGCCCTCTCCAGCAGTCCAGCTGCCACCTGCTTCCCGGAAGCCTGGGGGTGGAGGAAGCTGTGCCCCGCAGGATCACAGGTTGTGTCTGCCTCTTTCACAGTAAGACACCCCTGGAGCTGGTGTCAGCTCTAAGAATCAGCCACAAGCTGCTGTAGCTTAGCGCCAAAGCCGGCCAGCGAGCAAGCCAGGCCTGGGCATCCAGCGGCAGCTGCACAGGCGGTGGCCATCACCTTGATGGGCTGCCACCTGCCCTGCTCACCGCAGCTCCAGCAGCAGCTATGGGCCTTACCACAGCAGGGGAATGGCAGGGACCCAGGGTGAGCTCAGGGTGTGGGCAAACAAGGCCGCCCACGAACAAGGCCCCATCACAGCCGAACCCTCCAGACACATCAAACTCTGCTCCCTTGAAATGTGTCCTAGAGATTCCATTAATGCTATGAGAACCAATGACCCCTTCTCTTTCCACCGTGAGCATTCGTTCAGCTGCTGCTGCTTCTTCCAGCAGGGGCTAGAGAGGCGGGAACCGTCAGATACTGATCATCTCACTGATGTGCCTTATGAAAAAATCACCTTAAAAAAATGAGCCTGCAGCAGATGTACTGAATTTCCAATCACCTGTGGCTGCCCTGGCAGGACCCCATCCACATGATTCTACCGGCCTTCCATGCCCCCTCGGGCGGATGCTCTACGGGGTCTCTGTCCCAGCATCCTCCACGGCTGAGGGCTCCGGCTGTTAGGAACGGACCAGTTGGGTGCTGCAGACACCAGTGAGTGAGCCAGAGACAGGGGTTCAGCCACATCAGAATGGGGAACAGAGGAAGTTCCTGGTGTTTCCCTGTGTGCTTGGAGCAAGAGCTTTTCCTTCATTGACGCTTAGCTTATAAACAAGGGGGGGAGGGGAGAACCCTCTCCAGTACAAGGAAAAAAAAAAATAATAAAAGCAATCAGTTTCCTTACAATCATAATGAAAGCAGTAACATGCTGGAGGCTGCACAGCCCATCAGAAACAGTGCATTTCACATCTCCCACCAGCTCAGCTCAGCCGAGCCGTGACGCGTGGGGAAGACCCGGGGAAGGGCCACAGGTGGGCACGTGCTCACCTGTCCTCATGTAAATTTGTATCGTTCAACATTTCCCTGTAACAGCAGTGTTTGTGTGTGTGTTACTCTCAAGTCCTGGAAACTTGAAAAAGAAAAAAAAAAAAAAAGTAAAAATTCACAAACACTTGTCTGGCTTTGATTGCCACGAGGCAGCATCAGGGTCTGAAATGGACAGACAGCGCCAAGCAAGAAAACCACGGCTGGCTTTGAAAACAGCCGTGGTTTGCGGCTGGCAGTGCGGCAAGGGAAAGCACAGCTGCCTGCCTGGCAGTGGTGGCTGGTTTCTTGGGGTGTGTGTGTGTGTGTGTGTGTGTGTGTGTGTGTGTGTGTGTGTGGGTTTTGGTTGGTTTTTTTTTTTTTTTTGCAAAGCTTGTGTGGTCTGGTAAATGTGGATCCCAAGGTGGCAAGACCTGTGTAAAATACAGCTCCCCAGGGTGAATAAGCTGCAGCCATCTTGTACTCCCAAAGTCCAGATAAAAGCCCCGTGGGGAGTCACTGCCCTGGTCCAAGCTGCCTGCTGAGGAACCAAATACAAACAGGAAGGCCCCTAAGAAGGGGCTTTTGAATGGCCCTCGAGCTGGGGAATTCCTAGGGCCCTTGTCTGGAGGGAGGGACGCCTGTGTCACGGCAGGGCCCCCACCCTCCAGTGGCCGTCACCTGCAGGAGCTGCCACCGGCTCCCTTCCTCCTTACCGGAGAGAAGCACCCGGCTGTTTTTCACATTTTAAGACAAAATAGGATGACAGAATGAAACAAGATCTTGGCTTGGGGCTCCCAAGCTGCTTCTGACTCCCACCCCACACCCCGTGCCCACGAGCATTCATTCAGACCCGGGTCTCCCCCAGCCTGTCCGGAGAAAATCATTAGCAGGCTTTATGGAAACACATTCTTGCCCAGTTCCTTAGTCCTCTCCTGCAGGCTCTGCCATGGCAGTGGAGTTAATGGAAGCTGGAGGGTGAGCCCCTCTGGAGCCCATCGTGGACCATTCTTCCTTGTCCGGGTACATGGAGGACCATGGACCAAGGATAAGGCTTGTTGGAGGCCAGTGTCACCCCCATTGCTCCAGGGCACCCTGGTAACCCTGCAAGTCCTGAGTACTGAAGGGAGATCAACCCCCACGAGGCTGCTCCCGATTCCTGCCATTCACATTGAGCAAGAGGCTACTAAGAAGCTGATTGTCATTCCCTTTAGAACCATCAGGCCCTGAGAAAGTATGGCTCCCCTCCACCCTGTCTCCCTACCCCCGCCCCCACTCCTCACCAGCTGTTCTTCAAGTGTAGGGGAGAAAGAGCAGAAGAAAAAACATTCTCCTCCCTGCGGGGGAGGCTGAAGGAAAAGCTGTCTTGATACAGCGAAGGCACGTGGGTTCCAGGCGTCTGAGCTGGAGGCAAATTCTGAGCAGCTGGCGAGGAGCTGTGTGGTCAGGGAGGTGGGGCCCTGGATGCAGACCCACATCCTCTTCCCCCTCTCCTCGGTCTGGAGCCAGCTAGGGGCCACCAGCAGCCCCTGCCCACCCAGAGTCCAAGCCAGGCAGATCTCCAGTGCAGTCTGTGAGCTCATTCCAGCCCCTGGCCACACTGTGAAGCGGAGCATGGGCACATGAAGGCATTTGAATGAAGTGCATTGGCACCTGCTGAAGAGCTGTGGCAAGCAGACGCTTGCTGACCAGTGCAGCAAATCTATAACATTGGAATCCCCAAGATGAGCTGACCGAGAGGAGGAGGGACTGTGCCCGGCGCCGTCCACAGCTATCTGGGGAAGAAGTAGTCTTTGTTGCTGATGTCATAAGGGCTCTGGACGCAGCTGGCCATGGCATCCGGGCGGCTGGGGCCCGAGGTGTTGTCAGAGCCGAGGCTGCTGGGGGACACGGGTGGGGAGATGAGGGGTACCAGCACGGCAATGGGCCTGGGCCTTTCAGGGACCAGCTGCCCCAGCGCGTACGGTGGGTGCATGGCTGTCTTGCCTTCCTTCAGCGCACGCAGCTTCCAAGCCTTCCTGAACCTTCACACACAGACAAACCACAGGAGGGTTAGTACTCCATGATGAGGCCCCAAGAACCCCACCACCAACTGGTACTCAGGCCTCAGCCCCAGGGGGTGACAAACAGCTACCCCATCAGCTGTGGTCAACAGGGCTGCTCTGAAGACGTGGTGCTTCCAAAACACCCCCAGAAAACAGGTGTGTGCAGCTGGTCCAGCCTCCAAGTGGGAAAACTGAGGCACACCCCAACTGTCTGTGAGTGGACCAAAGTCACTCAACAGGTCCCTCATTTGTCCTGCTGCTGAGCGGCTCAACAGGAGCACAACAGCAGCCCCAAATCCATTTGTTTAAAAGTGGGGAGTAGGTGGGGGTGGGTGGGAAGCAGTGTTGTGGCTTAGAGGGTAAAACCATGGCATCCCATATTAGAGGGCCGGCTTGAGTTCTGGCTGCTCTGTGACCCATCCAGCTCTCTACTAATGCGCTTGGAAAAGCAGCAGAAAGATGTCCTGGGTCTTTGGGTTCCTGCACCAACTTGGGAGCCAGCTGGTGTTCCCAGCTCCTGGCTTTGACCTGGCCCCTCCTTTGGCTGGTGCAGCCATTTGGGGAGTGAACCCATGGATGGAAGATCTCTCTCTCCCTCCCTCCCTCCCTCTTTCTGTCACTCTGCAAAACACAATAAATAATTTAAAAATGAGAGAGGGTGAGAAAAGTGAGGAAGCAAAGTGGGCTGCCCATGGGGCTTGGACTTGGCGGTGAACTGTCATCTGTGATGGCCACCTGGTGCCAGCCCCCCGCCCTGCCATGCCAACTGTCCCCACATCTCTGGGCAGGTCCACAGCCCACCCGCTGGGGTCAGTTCCCAAGAGCCGGGCTGGGGGCGCCATCAGCCAAGCCTGACTCATTGGCAGGAAAGCTGACAAACAGGAAGGAGATAGGCATCGCTGTGAGGGCAGCTCCCCTCGCGGCCTCCCCCCGCAGCCCACGGCTGGAGTCACTGAGAAGTCACTTGACAGATCAGAAAGGAAGATGTCATCCATCTTCAAAGGAACAGTCTCGTCTCCTTCCCGAAGGGGCCACTGTCGCCACTGCCGCTGAGCTGTGGTGCCTTAGGGGTAGAGGCACTCCTCCCACTCGCTCCCCGCCAACCCCAGAGCAGGGGCAAGGTGGTCCCCAGGTGGTCCCCCGGATCCCCCTCATGTGGCAGCTACTCCAGGAAGGGCCATGACAGACGAGGGGAAGCCAAGGTCAAAAATCAGATCCGGAGCTTTTCCTTGGATGTCTTTGGAGATCGGCAGGCTATTCCTGTCCTTGTTAGCAGAAAGAACGGATGGCTGGCTCCAGAGCTGTGCTGGCCCTAGGCCTGCTCTTCAAATGAAACAAACACTCCACAGGGCCTCACTGAGGGCAGCAGCCTAGGATGGGGCATGGGCACAGGGCCCAGCGGGGGTGCTTACTGGAGCTGTGTGCTTGGAGGGAGGTGCCCCTTGTAAAAACACTCATTGCTCTGTGGATAACAACACAGAGACTGGCCCAGGAACCCAGCTCCCGAGGATATACCTGGCAGAAACCTCACAGCCACGGGGGAAACTTCAGGTACGTACACACACACACACACAGTTTCAACTCAACATTGTTTATAAAACCAAAACAAAGGCTAGTTCCTTGGTGTAGGCTAAGCCTCAGCCTGTGGCGCCAGCATCCCATAGAAGCACAGGTTTGTATTCCCACTGCTCCACTCCCATCCCAGCTCCCTGTTAATGGCCTTGGAAGGCAGTGGAGGTTGACTCAAATGCATGGACCTCTGCACTTTCATGAGAGACCCAGAGAAGGCTCCTGGCTCCTGGATTCAGACCAATCCAGTTCCAGCTATTGTGGCTATTCGGGGAGTGAAGCAGCAGAAGGAAGATCTCTTCCTGTGTCTTTCTCTCTCTGTAACTTTACCTTTAAAATATAAATAAATTAAGAAAAAAATCGCAAAACAACACCCAAGAGTAAGAAGTTGGTTAAGTGAACTTGGGTAATAGCCAACTGAGTAGCAAAATCAAGTTAATAGAAGTGATGTTTACTGATACTACACTTACAAGGCAGAGTGCAGAGCTGTGGATCCAGAATAATCACGGCTCCGTGAAAACAACAAGAAACCACAGGGGTGAGGAGAGGAATGTCCTCTAAGCCTCCAATGTTCTGGCCCTGATGCTGGCTGCTTGGATGCGTTCCCTTTGATCAAGTTCACAGGGCTGTGCATTTGTGCCATAAGTACTTGCTGTATGTCTGTTTTAGTTTAACAGTGAGTGGCTGAGGCCAGCGCTGTGGTGCAGCCCGAGAGCCCTTTACCTCTCTGTGCAGTCCTAACTGCCCTGCCCAGCCCTGCTGCGCACACACCTGCACGCACACACATGCACCTGCATGTCCTGCATGCATCCGTGTGTGCGTATACGCACACATGTCCACACATGCATGCTCACATGAACGTGCACATACACTCACACACTCAATTGTATGGCACTCTGGGCTTCTCCTTATCCAGACCAGCTCTTCTCCTTCCTTCACTTCTGTGGCCACACCGGCTGCTCGCCACACTGCTCACCACCTCTCAGGGCCTGAGTTAGACAACAGCTACGCTGCCCCTGCCGCCTCCTCACTATGCCCCTGCAGCCCCTGAGCAACACTGGATGTCATGTGTGCTGGGCGAGTGCTCCTTTGTGGCCAAGCAGGTGAGTGGATGGGCGTGCGCCCTGCACAGTGGGCCACGGGGAGCTCAGCCAGGGGCAAGGCAACACCTCAGGGCAGCTTCCAGGACCCATCTCACCTCAGAACAAGGCCAGTGCCGAGGAGAATTCCGAAGGCCAGGCTTCCTCCAGCCACCAGGAAGGTGGACAGTGGGATGGGTGAGGAATCATCATCTGAAGGGCGAAAAAAAGCAGAAGAGTGAGCAGCAAGAGGAGAAAGGGGCATGGTAGAAAAAGGAAAATCAGAAAGCCACTTAACAGGTGCCACCCAAAGCCCTGGGGGACAGTGGTATCGTAGCACTGCATGGGAAACAGCTGTCTGTGGTGCTGGCATACCATACGGGCACCAGTTTGAGTCCTATCTGTTCTAATACCCATTCGGGCACAGAGGATGGCCCAAGTGCTTGGGTTCTTGTACCTATGTGGGTGACCCGGATGGCCCTCCTGGCTCCTGGTTTTGGCCTGGCCCAGCCCTGGCTATGGCAGACATTTAGGAAATAAACCAGTGGATGGAAATTGCTTGTTCTGTGTATGTGTGGGGGTGGGGTATGACACACTGCCTTTCAAACCAATCAATCTTTAGGAAAAGTACAAGCCCCAAGGATCCCATCCTTGGAGAAAGAAGTGGCTCCACTGATCACCACCCATCGGAGTTCCCCATTTCCTAGCCACGGCTGACTCCAGAGGGCGGCTGCCAGCAGCGGCGTGAGCAGACAGGAATCCATCTGTCACTTGGCAAGAGAAGTGATCCGGCTCAAAGGGGCGAGGTGCTGGAGAAAGTTGGAGACTTGGCTCACACCCTTATTAGAATTCGTCTGCTTGCTTTTTTTTTTTTTTTTAAATGTCTGTCTCTTCCTACCAAGTGCCTGCTGTGTACCCAGCTTTGCTCGAGGCCTCAGACAGACTCAGAAGCCCAAAGCATGGGGAAAGGACACTGGGGAGGGGGTGCTGGGAGATGCGAGGGGGTGGGAGTGGGACAGGGCTTTCCGAGCAGGAAGAATTTGAATGGAAACCTGGCCAAGCTGAGGCCAGAGGAAGAGTGTTCCAGCAGTCGGTGCAAAGGGCCCGAGACATCTGGATAGGGAGATAGTTTGGTCAAGGAGGCAGCCTGGCAGATGCAGAGCCAGCAGGCAAGGGGAGGGGAGGCAAGGTCCCAAAGATGGACATAGGATGAGACAACATGACTGCTGGGGCGCCCCTGCGAGACTCGGCCTCTGCTGGAACTTTCACTCTTTTGCCCCATCAAGAAGCAACCAGAACCAATCTGGGTTGGGAAGTGGGAAGATGCTGAGCTTCTCTTTTGGACATGTTCGGCTTGGGGTTTCCAGGGTTGCAGGGGGACCCCGCCACCTAAGCAGAGCGCGAGTCGTGCGCCAGCCCTCTCAGCTCTCTACCCACCGCTGGGCTCTCCCTAACCCCATCTGGCAAGTGTGGTCCTCCTTCATGATAATTCCAAGTGTGCTCTTTGACACAGCCTGCTCGAGAAGCCAGGGGTGGGTGGGTTTTAGCCCCTGTGAGTCCTCAACTGGGCCAAACTCAGCCCCAGGCTTGCATCCGGTGCATCCTGCCAGCATACGCTGCACCAGGGCAGGGCTCCACCGCTGGCCAGTGCAGCAGACAGCCAGCAGCAGGTGCTGGCAGGAACCTGTCTGGGTGAGGGTCATGAGGCCAAGGACTTCCAAAATGGTGCTGTCCACCTACCCAGCCCCAAGGATCCTCCTGAACTTCAGTGTTTGTAAGTTTTGCTGGACCCTCAGGTCTAGCAAATCAAAAGTCCTAAAACCAAGACTCCGAAAACCACAATTTCAGGGCCAGCATGATGGTTCAAGTTAATCCTCCACCATTCAGTGCTGGGATCCCATATGGGTACCAGTTCTTGTCCTGGACACTCCACTTCCCTGCCAGCTCCCTGCTTGTGGCCTGGGAAAGCAGTAGAGGACGGCCCAGTGCTTTAGGACCCTGCACCCACTTGGGAGATCTGGAAAAAGCTCCTGGTTTCAGATCAGCTCAGCTCCAGCTATTGTGGCCACTTGGGAAGTAAACCAGCGAAGGAAGACCTCTCTCTGTCTCTCCTGTCTGTAAATCTGTCTTTCCAATAAAAATAAATAAACCTTGCACATTTTGTTTCTGTGGTGGGCCATTTGGTCATGCATCTTGGGGACTAGTCCCCATGTGACTTGGGGTTCCCCTGCCTCTTAGCTCACTACCTCCCTCTGCTATCTGGTCCCCAGCTGACCTGTCCAAATATCCAAGGACTTTCTGCAGAGAAAGCGAAGGCATTAAAATCCATCTGGAATCCTTCCTTACCTGGGAGGTGGGTGGTGCCTTCAGGCTCTCCGGTGAGTTCAGTGGTGTCATCAGCAGCAGAGGAGGCCTGAAAGACAGTCTCCGTCACAAGTCTGGTCTGCAGGCCCCACCCGGGGCAGGCGTGACCTCCTGACCCAGGGGAGGCGTTCCCTGCTCTATTTGGTGAGCCAGCCTGCATCTGACTTCTGCCACTTGCTATTTATATCCACACCCTGATGCCTCAAGGTGGGCATTTCTTTCCCCCTCCCCCACTGAAGCTTACAGGCACAAGGGAAGGGACCAGGTCCCACTGCTGCTGGGCAAAGTGTGGACTGGAAGCCTGGCTCCATCCCCAGCTTCTGGCAGACCTGAGCATAGATTTCTGCATGAACACGGGAAGGACTAGCATGGGAATTAAATGAGATGGTGAATGCAACACTTGGAGTCCAGTGGGGCATGGCCAAGGGCTCGGCCAGGGTCACTCCCAAGACCATGCTGGGAGTGGCCTATAGTAGTCCAGCTCTTGGACTGGCTGAGCCTCCTGCTTAGAAAATGAAGGACCCTTAGAAGGACCCTCCTGCTTAGAAAATGAAGGAAATACAGCGGGATGGGCAATTGAATTACTCCAGGGATGTGTTAACAACTTCAGAGTAATCTTCTTTCCAGCAAATGCACAGGCGGTGGGGAGACACGGATCCAAGGGAAGGGTGACTCAGACCAAGTCATCAACACAACCCAGAGAGCTTGAGACCGCATGGTAGTCACGAGTCACAGGGGACGTCTGTGGGCCAGGTCAGGGCTCTCCCACACAGGACGGGCCAGGGCAAAACAGCAGCTCCTCCCCCTTTCTCCAGAGGCCCAGAAAGGACCTGTCACTCACCATGGGCACTTCTCCAGCAAGTGGCAAGACTAGAAGTTAAATCAAACCCTGCCAGGCAGCAACCCACACACCCTCTGTGCATTGCTACCCTCCACCACCTATAAGAATAGGGACTCACCTCCGGGGAGGGGGACATGGCTGGGGGGCTCCTGGGTTCTGCAGATAGAAAGAGAAGTCGTTATTAGGGCTTTGTGGATGTTGAGGTCTGGCTGAGGCAGTTCAGAAGCAAAATGAAGTCTCCCACAGCTGGAGACACCAAACCATCAAGCACGAGAAACCAGACACAAGAACGACCAAGCCGTGTCATGCTTTGAGCACTTATAGCAACAACTCGAACAGCACGCCACGTGACCCCAGAAGTAAACATTTGTCCTCGGCCTGCTAAAACTTCCACTTGCTCGTGGCAGTCCAAAATACCATGCAACCTTTAGAAGCATATTTCAGGAAACTGCTGAAGATGTATTATATGAAAAATGCAGCATGGGGTTGGTGTGGTGGCTCAACAACCTAATCTACCTGCAAGTGCATGCATCCCATATGGGCATTGGTTCACTTCCTCAGTTGCTCCACTTCCCATCCAGTTCTCTGGCCTGGGAAAGCAGCAGAGGATGCCCCAAGTGCTTGGGCCCCTCTACCCATGTGTGAGACCCAAAAGAAGTCCAGACTCCTGACTTTGGATCAGTTCAGCTCTGGTTGCTGCAACCATGTGGGGAGTGAATCAGCAGACGGAAGATCTTTCCTCTCTGTCTCTCCTTCTCTCTGTGAATCTGCCTTTCTAATAAAAATAAATAAGCCTTTTAAAAACAGAGAAAGAAAGAAATGCAAGATAAGGAAAAGCACAGACAGCTTAGCTATAGGAATATCGCTAAACATTATTTACTGCAGAGTAACAAGCACACAAAAAGAAACAACGGAAGGATATGCAGCACCAGATAGAAGCAGTACTAACATTCTAGCTTGTTTCCTTTTAAAGATTTATTTATGTAAAAAGAGACAGTGATGTGGGAGGGAGGGAGAGAGAGAGAGAGAGAGAGAGAGAGAGAGAGCAAGCGAGCACTCTTCCATTTGCTGCTTGACTCGCCGATGGCCTCAGTAGCCTGGGCTAGACCAGGCTGCAGACAGGAGCCCAGAACGTTCTTAGGTCTCCAGTGTGAGTGACAAGCCCAAGATTCTTGGGCCATCTTCCCCTGCCTTCCCAGGCACATTAACAAGAAACTAGATTGGAAGCAGAGCAGCCGGGACTCCAACCAGCACTCCAATATGATACCAGCATTGCAGCAGTTTCACTCACTGCACGATGCCAGCTCCATTTTAGTTTCCTTTTATGCACTTGTTGCAATTAAAAGAAAAAAGGTTAAAAATGACAGGGTGAGCATTTGGCCTGGTGCTTTAGTCACAAGCTAAGACATAACACACCCCCACCCCCAGAGTTCCAGGATCCATCTTCACTGAGGCTCGTGGTTCATGCAGATGTTCCCACCCCTCCTCCCCCCATCTCCCAGGAACAGTGACTAAGTGCTGCGTCTGAGCCACATGGGAGCCCTGGCCTGCATTCCAGGCTTTTGGCACAGTCCCAGCCCAGTCCTGGCCACCATGGACATTTAACAAGTGAACCAGCAAACAGGAGAGCTCACTGTCTCTCAACCTTTCAGACAAGTGCATCCAAGAGACATTTATAGCAACACATTCTCATCTTGCTGGATGGATCTTGCAGGCCTCAGAAGCATAAGGACACGTACAGGAAGCTCCCCAGGGCTCCCTGCCTCCGAGGCAGCAAGGCTTCTACAGAGAAATGGCCCACGGCCAGAGCAGGCCCTAGGGACCTGGCGCCAAGCTGCCACAGGCCACGGGTGGAAGGCTCTGATTTTCAAAATAGTTTCGTGTCAGCTCATCATTTTTCCATCAGGAAGTTGCAAATAGCAATTAGTTTAATTAGTTTACACACTGAGCACAAACTTTCCTAAGGGGCCATATGCACAGTCCACATCCTAGATGGATACTGGTTCAAGTCCCACTGCTTCACTTTCTAATCAACTCCCTGCTGATGCACTTGAAAAAGTAGAAGAGGATGGTCCAAGGGCTTGGACATTTGTCTGGAGGACCCAGAAGAATCTCTGGGTTCCTGGCTTCAGCCTGGCCCAGCCCTGACCATTGCTGCCATTTGCAGAGTGAAGTAGCAGACCGAATTTCTCTGTGTCTCTCCCGTCTCTGTAACTCTGCCTTTCAAATAAATACATCTTAAAACAATCAAACCAAAAAACCTCTCCCTAAACCAGGAGTAGGTTAAAGAGGGACTCGCATGGGAGTGGAGGAGGAGAGGGTGACCCCACCCAACCTAGGGAAACATTTCTACCAGGAGCAAGCCCTCCGGAGCAGGGGACAGAACCGCACCCACAGCACTGGACCGCATGAGGGAAGTAGCCACCTTTCCCAGAGAGGGAAAGCAACTCATTTGTGGCAGCATAGCAAGAGAGCCCCAAACTGAACCCAGAGCTCACGGGAGGGACCCAAATTCTCTTTCTTCTGTGTACCAGTTCAAGTCCTGGCTGCTCTGCTTCTGATCCAGCTCCATGCTAAGGCCCCTGGGAAAGCAGCTGAAGATAGCCTAAATTCTTAGTCCCCTGTAACCATGCGGGAGATGTAGAAGAAGCTCCTGGCTCCTGGCTGGCCGAACCCAGTCGTCACAGCCAAACAGGGTGTATGTAAATCTTCTCTCTCTATCACTCTCACTACCAAATACATATTTTTAAAAAATGATTAGAGAACACACACTTTTTTTTTTACCCACAAGACTCTGTAAAGACAATTTTATTTATTTATTTTCATTTTATTTGAAAGGCAGACAGGCGGGGAATGAGATCCTCCATTCCCTGGTTCATTCCTCACAGGCCCTAAGAGCCAGGGAGGGCCTGGTTAAAGCTAAGAGCCTGAAACTCCAACCGGATCTCCCATGTGGGTGGCAGGGACACAAGTCCTAGAGCTCTCCTGTCCTGCCTGCCCAGGTGTGCATTCGCAGGGAGCTGGAGTGTCATCAGAGTAGCTAGGACTTGGATCGGGTGCTGTGACAGGAAGTGTGGGTGTCCCCAGCAATGATCTATATACTACACCTCCCCCACCACCAGCAGACTGCCTTCTACAGCCTCAGTTAACCTACTGCGGCCTACTGGGCAGAACTCAGGGTGAAGAGCAGAGAAGAAAAACAGGATGGGCTGACATGAACCACGGAGCTGGAGCCTCCCAGGCAGAGAGGAGGAAGCAGTGAGCTTGACTGGCAGCTCCTTCCAGCCCCTTCTCGCCTTTTGGCATAACATTTAAGCCACTAGCCAAAGGGGCTAATCTCTGCCACCCCACTGGCACAGAACCCCGAGCAGCACAGACTCCCCTCTGCTCAGCCTACCCTTCCCTGCAGGGCAAGGCACAGTGAGGCCGGAGCAGTTCCTGCACAGGGGCTGTGTGGGTCTCCCTGGGAGTCAGGCCACCGCGCACATGCCTGCCTACTCCCTGTCCCGTAGGGGCTTGAAGAGCAGGGATCTTGTACGAAATAACAGGGCAAGTGGCTATCATTGTTTAGTCACTCACTTCATTTCATGTGTCTAGCAAAAATTCAAATCGACCATCCTGTCTGACCCCCCAAATTCTTGCAAACCCTGAAGTCTGTGAACTTTGGAGGTCTGCCGGTAGGGCTGGGGGAGGGAGGGTGATGCAGGGGTGGGAGAGGGCGGGGACCCATGTGCAGAGGGCTGGGCTGGGCTTCAGTTCAGCGGTGGGAGGGGAGGGGCCTGGGCGAGCTCCAAGTACAGAGAGAGAACCTGGCATAGGGAGAAGGCCAGCAGGGCAGCCGAAGGCCCAGTGCCCAGCCGGTGGTTTAAGCTCCTGAGCTTGTCCACCCCAGGAGCAACAGGAGCTGAAGCCGTCAGCCAGAGCCAGGCACTCAGACTCTGTGGCAGGAACATGGAGGATGCCTGCCAGGGTCCTTGCTTAGCAAGGGCTGGAGAAGAGCTGGGAGCATGCCCTGCAAGAGCCTGGGACGCTGGGACAAGAGCTTGCACCAAAGGAGGCTATAGCAGCTGGCTGGTGACAGTGCCCTTCACTGGACAAGGATCATGGGGACAGGGACAGGGGGAGGTCTGTGAGGAATTACTATGGATTTGTTTGGGTCACGCCAGCTGCTCAGTGCATAGGAGTATGTCTAGATAGAGTGAAGGCAGGAACCCAGTACCCAAGGGCCAGGTCAGGGACAGTCACAGGTGGGAAGCGGCGAGGCCAACCTCATCCGTATGCTTGTCCCACACCTGGCTGTGGGCTGCTCATTCCCATTTCACTGCACCTTGTCCTCCAAGGAGGTAGGTATTCTGCTTTTGGGGTTTTTCAGCAGACGGGCATTTTTGTTCCCAGTTGACAAAAGCCAGTGGGGGCTCAGGTGCTTCCCCAGTCACCAGACCCCACAGCAGTGCCCTGCGGCGAGTGGGAGAGAACAGGGTGGCAGCCGGGGTGAGGGTGAGGGACGGGACTTCAATGCTGCAGGGTTGGAGGAAGCACTTGGGAAAAGTCCCACCCCATGGGATCAAGAAGAAGAGGGGAGAGAAGCCCTTGATTGGCCAAAAGATTTAGGGAAACAGCCACTGGGTGGGGCAGGGGAATCCAGCCACCTGCAGGGACCCCGGCCTGGCCCCAGGGTACTCCACACCCCAGGCAGACACAGATCTCTAGCACTGCATCCAACATGACTCCCATGCTTGGGGTCGATGGGAGGAGTGAAAAGAACAGAGTGTGCAGTCCCCCTCCTCAGCAGGGGGACTTCTGAGACCTCCAGACTCAGTATGTGTGCACCCAGGGAGACCCACGGCAGCCCTGTCCTCCGCCCAGTCTTGCTGAACCCCTGCCACCACTGCCAAGGTGATGGCCTGGCCTTGCTGGCCACAGCCAGTCAGAGGGCAGGGCCTCAGCCACCTGTACCTGGTACAGACGGGCACCACCCACACAGCAGAAGGCAGGGAGAGAGCCAACGAGGCTGGAGCTGGGCCCCCGTGAGAAAGAGCTTCCTGCTCAAAAAGACGTTTCTCTAAAAAAAGACACACGAGGGGCCAAAAAGCACTGGAAAAACACACAGCGCCTCAGATCATCAAGGAAATGCAACTCTAAACCGCAGGGAGGCCATACTTCCTATGCAGGAGGACGGCTGTACCCCCCAAAATGGGAAACAGCAAGTGTAGGCGGGGACAGGGAGAAAGTGGGAAGCTCTTTGCACTCCGGTGGGGACTTCAAATGGTGCAGCTGTCATGGAAAACAGCACGTGGTTCCTCAACGACTCAGAGCCTGAACCACCTCCAGTGCTGCAAGGCACATGGCAGCCTGCTAAGCCGCTGCTTGAGACACCAACATCTCCTATTAGGGTGTCACTTTGGGTCCCACATCCATCCAGTGTCCTGCTCATGCGACCTGAGAAACAGCAGGGGATGGCTCAAGTGCCTGAGCCCCTGCCACCCACCCAGTGGGAGACTGGGATGACATGCCTGGCTCCTGGCTTCAACCTGGTCCAGCCTTTGGGTGGAAGATCTCTCTCTCTCTCTTTCTCTGTCTCTCATCTCTGCCTTTCAAGTAGACACAAATAAATAATGTTTTCAAACAAATAGTGGCCTCATGTGGTAGCCTAATGGCTAAAGTCCTCACCTTGCACATGCCAGGATCCCATGTGGGCACCAGTTCTTGTCCCAATTCCCTGCCTGTGGCCTGGGAAGGCAATCAAGGTCGACCCAAGGGGTTGGGACCTTGCACCCACATGGGAGACCTGAAAGAAGCTCCTGGCTCCTGCATTGGATCAGCTCAGCTCCAGCTGTTGTAGCCACTTGGGGAGTGGGCTAGCAAATGGAAAATCTTCCTCTCTGTCACTCCTCCTCTCTGTATTATTTGACTTTCTAATAAAAATACATAAATCTTTTTTTTTTAAAGCAAAATAAAATGACTGAGGCCTGCACTGTGGTGTAACAAGTCCAGCTGCCTCCTGCAGTGTTACTATCCCGTATGTGCAAAGATTCAAATCACAGAGGCTCCACTTCCCATCCAGCTCCCTGCTAAACAGCCTGGAAAAAGCAATGGAGGATGACTCAAGTTTGAACCTCTGCAACCTTGTGGGAGACCCGGATGAAGCTCTTGGTTGCTGGCTCTGGCCTGGCCCACCCCCAGACATTGCAGACATTTGGGGAGTGAACCAGTAGATGGAAGATTTCTCTCCAGCTCTCCTTCTCTCTGTAACCCCACATTTCAAATAAACAGTTTTTTTTTTCCTTTTAAAAAGAGAATTACCACATGATACAATAATTTCACTTCTTGGTATAAACACAAAAGAACTGAAACCAGGGGTCCAAACAGATACTTGTGCAGCTGTGTCCAAAGAGGCCTTATTCACAACAGCCAGGGGGAACAGCAGCTGGGGCCACAGCATAGCAGTTCTGTCTATGATGCCAGCATTTCATATGGCTGCTGACTTATGTCCCAGCTGCTCCATTTTCCATTCAGCTCCCTGGCAGTGGCTTGAGAAAAGCAGTAAAGATAGCTCAAGTGTTTGGGTAACTGCACCCATGTGGGAGACCCAGATGAAGCTCCTAGATTCTGACTTCAATCTAACCCAGGCCTGGCCTTGGCCATCACTTGGAAGACCTCTCTCTCACACACACACTTTAACTTTCAAAGAAATAGATAAATCCTAAAAACAAAAAGAAAGATGGAATCAACCCAGGTGTCTATCAACAGCTAAGTGGATAAACAAAAAGTGGTACCTCTCTGTAACGGAATAGTATCTAGCCTTAAACACAGAGGAAATCCTGCTACATTGCTACAAGAATAAATCTTAAAGACACGCAAAATAAAATAAGCCAGTCACCAAAGGCCACTTATCTGATGAACTTGCAATTGTTCAACTCACGGAGGCATGAGAACTTTGGCGCAGAGAATGTCCACCACTCAGGACACCCCCATTCCATCTCAGGGCACCAGTTTGAGTCCTGGTCACTCCACTTATAATCCAGCTCCCTACTAATAATGTGCCAGCCACAGCAGCAGAAGATGGACCCATTTCTTCAGCACCTGCCACCCATCTGGGAGATCCTGATGCAGTTTTGGGCACCTAACTTCAGCCCTGATCAAGACCTGGCTATTACAGCTATTTAAGAAATGAACTAGTCAGCTAGTGGATTCTGGAGAGATTTCATTGTGCTTGGAATGGTGAGATTGGCATCAAGTCAGAGCTGTCGAGCTATCAAAACCACTTGAGCAGTGCTCTTGGAGCATGCCCCACATCAGGGACCCTGGGACAGGTGGGAGGATGAGTGAGGCTTCTCCCTTTATCTTCCCCCTTACCCACATGGGTGCAGGTACCCAAACACTTGAGCTATCTTTACTTCTTTGAGAGAGAGAGAGAAAATGTGGAAACAATGGTCTTACCCACTTTCTTGTAGTCCTTGACTCTTTGTGCCCTAATCAACTATGTAAAGATTATAAAAATAAAATAATAACAACAAAAAAAGAAATGAACTAGCAATGGAAAATCTCCCCCTACCGCCATCCCGTCAGTATGTCTTTCAAATAAACAATTCCATCTTAAAAAAAAAAAAAAAAAAAAAAAGCTCAGAAGCAGAAAACTGAATGATGGCTGCCAAGGGCGAGGGGATGGGGTGAGTGGACAGGCAGTCAGTATTTAAAGAACAGAGTTTCCATTTTGCAAGGTGCAGATGGACAATGTTACACAACCATGCAAATATGCCCAACGCCAGAGGACAGCATGTCTCTTGGTGGCCACGGTGCACTGTAGCACGATTCAACAGTTTCTAAAAGAGGAAAATTTCCAACAAGACAGCAATTCTGAAGGTGCCCGTGATGATGTCAGCTGGGCAGCTGGGAGGAGAAAGGTGAGACAGGTGCCGAGTCCACCTAGAACATGTCCCCAGCACAAGGTGAGCGCAAACACTGCAAAGCCCACACAGGGCGCTCAGATAAACAGTGCCTCCAGCTGTCAATGAACCCGAAGAGCCACAGCCAGGTCAGTGCCAGGTGGCCTGCAGGATGCTCTGCGTATGCCAAATGGCCTTCCCACGTCAAACACGGGAGCTGAGCCGCCCTACTGACGGAGGCCAGAGCAAGCAAAGCTTGGGAGAAGCAGGGCCCCTCAGAAGAAGGCTGCATAGTCTGGGGGGAACTGTAGAGAGGGGAAGCGCCCCAGAGCACTGAGCCTGGCTTTCATGCTACATGCACCCAACTCCGTGACTCCCTGCACCCTAGCCCCCCAGAACAGGAAGGCAGGGACCCTACAGGACACAGCCAAGGACAGAACCAGGACTATCACAACCTAGGCCTGGAAGCAAATGGCCAGGGTAAGTGACGGCAGTCCCAGCTTTTCCTTTTGATCCACACATACTCACCAAGTGGGCATCTTATTCTTTTTTTTAATTGCCAAAGTTTAGAGAATAATTCATTTGATCTAACTATGCCACAGGGTAGAGAGATATGTTCCTCCCCACCACAAAGTAAGCCTGGAGACAAGCCCCCAGTAAGACACTGGGAGGGGTAAAGTGTACTGCCCCGGCTGGTAGCAAGTTCCCCACCCCTGGACACATCCAAGCAGGGCCTGGGTGGCCACTCTCCCAGCAGGGCTTGGCAGGACACCTGCACTCTTGTTCTGGCCTCTCCTCATCCTGGATCCCAGGATACTCTGACAATGGCTCACAGGTCACAGGAGGCTGTTGGTTATAGCATGGGAGGGGCAGCACCAGGAGAAGCAGAAGCTAGGAGCAGAGAGGGCTGTGCGGCCCCCACTCCCGGAAGGCAGGGCAGGAAGTGGGAAGGGGCCCAGTACACCACCCCACGTCACAGACCCGTTGTCCCTCTCTGCTATGGCCATGTGGCCATGTGATAAGAACCTTAAAAGTTGAGAAAAAAAAAAAAAGCCAAAAATCTCCCATGGGTTGAAAAAAATGCATCACCCCAAGGCTGAATAATACTTTTCCAAAATCTAATGGCGTGAGAATGCTCTCAATAATCCAAAAGTGTGCTTCAAAAAGTTCATGGGAATGGAATTAAAAGATCTGTTTATTTTGGTACAAAACAGCTAGAACTCAAGCAATCTCATACATAAACACACACACACACACACCCCTAGAAAAAGTGTATTAAAATGTTCTTGGTTTTCTCAGAGGGAAGATACTGGTAATAATTATTCTCTATATTACTCAGAAAAATTTTTTTGCCTCTTTTACAACAAAATACTAATTCCAGAAATCCCCCCCAAAGCAGCGATACCTACCGCTAACATCAAAACCACTAACACAAATAAAAAAATATATATATTGGAAACGTCTAGAGTCAACCTGCTGGGCTACAGTTCTTTGTCGCTCATTCTGTGCAGTCCAGGGTGGTTTCCCCGCTGGCTTGGACCTCTCCCCGCCCCCAGTCTGGGCTGGACCAGGGATAGGCGAGAAGCAGTGGGGAGAACCAAGCACCAAGTCTGGGGTGGCTGCAACCAGCAACACTCCCAAGCAGTGCTGGGCCTGGCTGAGCCTCAGGCTCTCCAGCCAAGGCGGCGGCTGAATTAAGCACCCCACATTTATGGGATGCATGGTCATGTGACTCGAGGTTGCCAGGGTAATAACCAAGCAGAAACACCCCCCCACCTCAGCCATCACAGTAGTACCTGTCCACGGGGTGCCCCGAACCTCCTCGCTCCACACACTCCAGGAGCCATGCTCGAACTCCTCCTGGGCACGGAGCTGCACGACATGGCTCATGCCCTTCCAGGCATCATAGATGAAACTTTGATACTGCAGGCCCAGGACACCAGAGCTGGAGGCAGGGTGGCTGCCGCTCTCCACCTGTGGGTGGGAGGGGCATTTATGTTCAAGGATGGTCTCCGCCCCCTGGCCCCACAGCCTGCAAGAGGCATTGGGAGCTCACACCATGATGGGGTGGAGCGGGTGCTGGAGGCTCACACCACCACCAGCTGAGGGACAGGGGGTGGGCCGCACATAAGGTGCGCACCCTCTGGGCTAAGAGACTGCTGGGGGAAGTCACCAACCCCTCCTCATCTCCATGGACTACTGCAGCCCACCGCCCCAGGCTTCCTCCCCTACCCACGTGAGGACCACACAGGCAGCCACTGGAACACACTGCTGCTTGCTCCCTCCACCCTCTTTCTCCTTCTAGGGACACATCTTTGTCTAGAAGCCAAAGAGGAACTTACGATCCATTCTGTGAATGCCTGGGACCGCTCAGCCCGGTACCGGATCTGGAACCGCAGCCTGTAGAAGTTGGAGTTCCAAGAGACGGGGTCCTGCCAGGTGATGCTGAGCCAGTGTGGCTTTTCTGACACAGCACTGACGGTGATGTTGGTGGGTGGGTCGGGCTGCACTGTGAAAGACAAAAGAGCAAGGCTCCGAGGCAGCAGCCAGGTGGGGCGGAGGGAGAAGCCCCCAGCCAGCGCTCTGCACGCCCACCACTCCCCACGCAGCCACTCATCCCAGCCCGTCCCCCAGCCGCTAGGCAGCCCTGGGAAGAGTTTACTTACAGATCTTGTAGCTGTCAAAGTTCACCACCAGGCTGGACGTGCTGCTGATGCTGTTGGCCACACACAGCGACACGAAGAGGGAAGATTTGTCTGTGGAGGGGAGGACCAACTGGCACGAGAACTTCTGTGATTCCTGAGAATACGGGCACGGCTCCTGGAGGTCTGTGACCTGGCTGTTCAGGCTGTGGGACACAGAGCAAGGGAGAAACAACCCCCGCCCCCGGCATGGCCTGGTCAGCCTCAGCAGTTTGGGAAAAGGGGGAGTAGTATAGGGCTTAGGTGCCAAGCTCTGAGGCTGGGATCCCAGTGCCCGACTGATGGGCTGTGCTCTGCTTTTCCAGTTTTGGACCAAATTATTTAACCTGAGTCTCTTTTTTCTGCTTTGAAAATGGGATTTTTTAAAATATTTACTTTATTTGAAAAGCAGAGTGATAAAGCGCAAGAGAGACAGGTATCTACTGGTTCACTCCCCAAATGGCCAAGGTGGGGCCAGGCCAAAGCCAGGAGCCAATAACTCCATCTGGATTTCCCACATAGGTTCAGAGGCCCAAGGATTTGTGCCATTCCCTGATTATTTCCCAGGCACATTTGTGAGAAGCTGAATGGGAAATGGGGCAGCTGGGACCCGAACTAGCATCCCTATGGGATGGCAGTGTCACAATTGGTGGCTTAGTCTGAGATGCCACAACACTAGGCCCCCTCACAAAATGGGACTGTTAACGGCTCCTATGGGTCTATGGGTCTAACAGAGTCACCAGGTAACAGTAGTTCAATGCCCAGCCACGGGCAGGGGAGGTGCTAGGCTGGGAGGGTTCAGCCAAGGACTTAGACATCAATGCACAGAGAGTTCTGATTTCCTGCCAGGGTCCGTGCTCTTGACTCTGGTCCGGGTGGGTAGTGTGCGGAAATGAACCTAGGGAAGCCCCAGCACAGCCTCGCGGCATTATGGGAAAGGGCCGGCGGCAGACACCCAGACACCCAGGAGCAACAGCGGGGCACCACGCTTCCCAGAAGCATAGAGCGCAGAAGGAGCTCACAAGGAGGTGACAGCATCCCCAGCAGGTGAATCCAGGAGAGGATTTGGGGAATGTGGGTCAGACACTACTGCCTCGGTCCTAAGGCTTGGGACTCACCCCCCTGGTGACTGGACAGGCATGGAAAGTCAAGACAACCACTTGCCTCTGATCCAGGACCGTCTCCAGCCCTGTATCACCACCGAGCCTGCTGGGTGGGATTGACTGCGTCCTGCGGGGGTGAAGGGCAGGGTCCCGGCTGCTTACCTCCCATCTCCCACAGGCCCAGGCCAGATGCTGAAGTCACAGTTGCTCCTGGCATGGACAAGCGGGCAGCCTGTGCCAGGCAGCAGGTGGCAGTGGGCACACCCCAGGGGAAGCAGAGCCTCGCTCCCCTCTCCACCTTCCTCCCTTCCGACATGCTGAGCAGTCACTCGTGGCAGAACTGGAGCATGACCGAGGCATGCACTACAGTGGCTGGCACTTTCGTGGTCCACGGAGCACTGTGACTGAAGTGTCCAAATGCAGCTGGTATCTGTGATTGGTCTGGGAAAGAAGTTCCAGTCCCCAGAGGAAAGCCATTGAGGCTCCAGAGGACATCCAGACCCAGCTTGGGCGACATACGGCTTTTTGGTCTACCCACTGAGGCAGTGAGCTAGCACCTAGTGCCAGCTGTATCCACTACAGATGGGCAATCTACACTCGTCCCCAGAGAGGCAGGGAACTCGTCACTGCCAGGAGATCTAGCAAAGCTGCAGACCACACCAACTAAAGCCTCAACCCCCAGAGGTCCCTGCTCTGTTTCTGATAGCTCCCCCTTATTCCTGGGGATACAGTCCAAGATCCCTAATGGATCCCTGAAGCATGGTAGGCCCAACCCCTCCATGTACTGGGCTTTCTTCCTTACACCCTGTAGGGTGGCCAGAGAAAATCAGAATCAAACTGTCCTTCTCTGTGTCAGACCTGTTTCCCACTCTCCCAGGGCCCTGGGCATCACTCACTCCTCTTCAGGGGAAGATAAAAGTGCCTTGAGCACAAGCGCTGGTCATAGACCATTGGTGGAGAAGGACAGGTACTGCATACAGCTGCGATACGCTGGACACAGCAGCTGTGATTCAATCAGAGACATGACTCATGTCCTGGGTGGGACGGTGAGAAAGTGCATCCTCAGAATGGTATGAGAGTTATGATGACCACAGACACAGGAAGGCTACCATCCTCCCATGCACGACCTGACAGCCCTAGGTTAACTGGACTGGGAGAACCCTTGGCACGGGGGGCAAAGGGAGGTGCCAAGAAGTGCACAGACTCCTCTTCCACCTGCTCCCCTCTGCCTGTACCCATCCCACGTTGCCTCAGCTGATGCAGACTTCTGGTGGCCCAGCAGGTACCCCAAGGTAGGCATAACTTCCCACCTCGCTGCCACTTATTACCACTTCCTGGCACCTTCCTTGACCAAGGGAACAGGCTGATGTGCCTCCAGGATCAAGGCACATGTCATGGGCACGAGGAGGATGGCGGGCAGTGCCTCAGTAAGGATGGGGTGGACATGAGCAGGATGCCGGCCCGCCACACTTACTACTTTTTCACCTCCAGCATGGCCCTAGTTGTTGCGGACGGCGGCCTCTGTGGATGCCACTCGCAAGTCACAGGCTTGTCGAAGCTCCTCCGGAAGCAGGAGACACGGGGCTTCTCCGGGGGAACTGAAAGCAGAAGGGCAGGTGCCGAGGGAGTGAGGAGGCAGGCAGGGCGTCCTGGGAGTACACCTGTTCAGCATACATGGAATTGCATGGGGCAGCTGGCTGCATGGTCTTCCACGGAGAGGGCTGCTGGGCTCGGCCCCCGCCTGCAGCCCTGGAGCCTGTCCTCACCCAGGACACCAAGGCCCAGCTCAGATCTCACGGAGGCTGGATGATGACAGGACATCCATGCCTGCATGGGAGGCTGGGAATGAGAGCCCGAGCAAGGCCGGGAGCAGGTGCCTGGGGCCCACGTGTCTCACATGGTGAGAGGGTGATAAAAAGTGCAGATGCAGCCTGACTGTGTGACCCTGGGCAAGTCCAACCTCCCCAAGTCCACGAGCCCATGATGAGTCAGCAATACAACAACAGCACCTCGGACTGTCTGACAGTGTCGGGGTACACTTAAACAAGAGACTGACGGAATTATGATTCCTTATGAAGAACTACTACTTTGTAGTAAAATGGGGAAAATCTGTCGGGGGTGGGAGTTTTGGGGGGAAATCCCAGTCTATATGAAATTGTACCACATTTTATGTATATATATATATAAAAAGAACTACAGCACCTCGCGGGGCTGCTGGGAGGTCCAAATGAGACTTGAGGCAGAATGAACCCCAGCCCAGGGCTTGGCTCCATCAAGCCTCAGCTTAGAACAGGCAAATTCTAAAAAGAAGGGATCTTGGGAGAGTCTAGTATGTGCCACACAGGGTGTTGGCACCAAGCCCACACGTACTGAGCTCTCAAGGGATCCCTCAGAATTTTACACACACATACATACACTGTCACAAACACACACATTCACATAAACACTCTCATATTCACACACATACACAGTCACAGACACATTATTCACACACACCCAAGTATACACACACACACAAAACACATGCTCATTTAATCTTGTCAACAACTGCAAGGTAAGATAACAAAATCAACTTTCTTTTATCAAAAACGAATCTGAGAAGCACAGAAGTTAAGTTATAGGAGAATACTTTGAAAAGTTCACGGAAAACAGAATTCAAAGTTCAGTGCAAAAAACAAAAAGTTTGAGATCATAATTTTTTTCCTGATAAGTTAATTGTGTGTTATATCTGAAGACCCGGCCTATGTGAAGGAGCTGATTCAAGTCCAGGTGATCTGGCCCTGGGCCCCATGCTGTTGTTACCCAGCCCGCTGCCATGGCCCTCACTTGCAAGGCGGGACAGATGCTGTCTGCCAGCGACCAGGTGCCCCACCCAGCAGGCTTCTCCCCCAGCATCTCCTTGGCAGTTGCCAGGAGCCTTGACCTTGGGCTAAGCAAGATCAGGCAAGGCCTGTCTGGGCAGCTTTTCTTCCAGGCATGGGTGCCACCCATCAGAACTCCAGCCACACAACTCACCATCCACCAGCAAGTAGACAGACCCGGCGGGGTGGTCGTCCAGGTAGCACGAGTAGTTTCCTGAGTCTTGGAGCTGCACCGACTTCAACAGCAGTCTCCCGCCCACGCCAGCCCACTGGCGGAGCACTGTGCTCTCTGCCACACTGCGGAGCAGCCACTGCACCGTGACGTTGGCTGCCGGGTCCACGGCTGGGCAGCTCAAGTTGACGTTGGCCCCAAGCTGGCTGCTCACCACATGGCTCCCCATCTCTGCAGGAGAGAGAACAGAGTGAGAAATTCCCCGGAGAGGTAAGGGACTTGATGTCTGATTGGGGCAGGCCCGAAGGCTCCAATCACTTAGAAAATCTTTCAAAGATCTGCCAGGGTGCACAGCGCACAAAGCAGACCCAGGCACTCTTGGTAAAGAAATGCACCTACCTGGGAATGAATGAATGCCAGGGTCCCAAGTGAGACTCTCGGGGTCCACCAGACCCAGGCAGACTCAGAATCACAGGCCTTCACCACAGGGTAGCCCATGCCACAGATGGTAACCCAGGAGGCAGAAAGCTTGCCCAAGAGTACCAGTCAGTTAGCTATGCCCTACACTGCCCTCCCCAACCCATATCCTATGCCTACCTGTTATTAAACAACTTAGGAATCGCTCATTTTATTTAAAGCCCAAATTGGAAAGGAACCACACACACACACACAGACACACACACATCTATTCCCCAACCCTAAAAATACATGTGTGTGTATACTTAAGGAAAAGCTTAAAGGAACAAGTATGAATTTCTATTTGATATACAGGTTATAGATTCGTAGACTCTAAGTAAGACATTAGCTCAATCACCTTACACTAATTTTTTAGCCAATCAATTACCTGACTCCAAAAATCTGAAGGAATGGAGGCAGCAAACACGGCCAGTTTTCTCACAGAGCACGTTTTGTCCTTTAAGCCAAGCATATCACCACGTGTGTGCCACAAGTCCAGCAATAAAGCTGCACAGAGATTTCAGAAGGGCTGGCAGCTGTCCACGCCTGACCTCCCCTCCCTGCCCAGGCTCCTAGCCCTATGGGTGGACACAGAGGGATGTCTCCCTCTGACCTGCAGAGCCTCCTTGCCTGGGAGGAGGAGTTATCATCAGAGAGAAGTAAGGCTCAGGTCCTAGCAGGTGGTTACATCTCCCTCAACCCCAGCCAGGGAAGCCTGGCCCTCCAGACGGGCCACAGGTCACAGCTCGGGGACTAGAGACCCAGGCATCAAAGGGGCAGAGATGGCTTTCACCGGCCCTGGACCCTGTCTGACCACCTTCCAAACTTTCCCCCAGGGGCCAGTCCTCCACTGTGGCTGGCACTGTTAGCTCCAAGGCAGGTTCTGTAGACCCCTGGACACTTAGTCATTTTGTAAATGTATTTGTAAGACTAACACACACATGTTAGTAGGTGTGTAATGCATATAAAAGTTAGGAAGGCGTTCATTCCAACTTAAAACACTATGTGCTGAAGAGACCGGCCCATTGCCCCAGATGCTGCGAGAGATGCCTGCAGCCCATGTCAGAGTCCTCCAGTTCCAGTGCTGGCTCCACTTCTGATGCCAACTTCCTGCTAATGCGCGCCCTGGGAGGCACCACGTGATGGCTCAAGCAGTTGGAGCCTTGCCACCCACAGGAAAGATCCAGGAGTTCTCAGCTCCTGGTTTCAGCCTGGCTCCAGCCTCATGTTTCGCAGGCATTTGAGGAGTGAAGCAGCAGATGGAGCATGCTGTCTCTCTTGCTCTCTCAGTTTGCCTTTCAAAAAAAATGACCACCATTATTTCCTCCAAACCTCCCCCTGGTTTGCCCATCCTTTAGCTACCTCACAGTCACACTGCACATTTGGGATTTATCATTACCTGACTTCAGTCTTTCAAAATTTGATTGATTGATTTGAATGGTAGGTAGATAGCAATCTCTCACCCAAAGTTCTACTCCCAAAATGCCTGCAAGGGCCCAGGCTGGAGCCGGAAACACCATCCACGTCTTCCGTTGAGGGTAGCAGGGACCCAAACACCCATGGCATCACCTCCTGCTGCCTTCCAGGGCCCATCAGTCAGGAAGCTGAGCCAGAACTCAAACCTGCGCATTGCTGGGAGGTGGGCAGGCCAAGTGTCATCTCAACCACAATGCTAAGCACCTGTCCCAACCTTCCTTTTATAACTAGGTTCACTCTGCATGCATCCCTAAACTTCTCTTAATCTTGCTTGTTAGAAATAGTTGGTTTATAATCTGTGATGTGTTTTTTTTTTCACTCATTCTAGTAGTTCATTTACATAGAGCTATAACATGCTCATTTTTTTCTTTTTAACGTTTATTTCTTTTTATTGGAAAGGCAGATTTACAGAGAGAAGGAGAGTCAGAAAGATCTTCTATCTATTCCCCAAATGGTCACAATGCCTGGAGCTGTGTTAATCAGGAGCCAAGAGCCTCTTCCAGTTTTCCCACATGGGTACAAGGTCCCAAGGCTTTAGGCTGTCCTCTGCTGCTTTCCCAGGCCACAAGCAGGGAGCTGGATGGGAAACAGAGAAGCCAGGATGTGAACTGATGCCCATATGGGATGGTGATGTTTGCAGGCAGAAGTTTAGCCAGCTGATCCATCACACTACCCCCACACCCCCATTCCCTGGTTCATTTCACTGTTGCATAATAGTCCATGGTGCAACACTACCAATCTGGTGTGGGAGGTCTGGGGTCATGTTCAGTGTTCTGCCACTGGGCGTGACCAAAGAACTCCTCTAAGAGTAAAACTGCTGCTTGTGGCCTATGTGTCATATGTGTCTTTGTCCTTCACAACTGACTGCACAGCACAGTCTCTCACATTCAAATCCCACGAGAACCTGATGGAGACACTGTTTGCCACTTCTGGTCCACATATAGTTGAAGCTATTATAAAAAAACCCACCTCAACTTTGGATCATCATACCAGTATTTTCTTTTCTTTTAATTTATTTTTATTAGAAAGGCAGATATACAGAGAAGAGGAGAGACAGACAAAAAAGATCTTCTGTCCACTGATTCACTCCCCAGGTGGCCGCAACTGCCAGAGCTGAGCTCATTCAAAGCCAGGAGCCAGGAGCTTCTTCTGGGTCTCCCACGAGGGTGCAGGGTCCCAAGGCTTTGGGCCATCCTCTGCTGCTTTCCCAGGCCACAAGCAGGGAGCTGGATGGGAAGCAGGACTGCTGAAATACAAATTGGCACCCATATGGGATCCCGGTATATTCAAGGTGAGGACTTTAGCCACTAGATTACAGCTTCAGGCTCCATACCAGTGTTTTCAAGCATTGCTTTTCCACTTGATAAAATGGGTATGCAGATAAAATCTAACAGAGATGTCAAGATCCAGCCAGGCCTGGTACAATGGCTCAGTAAATAAATCTTCACTTGCACACACCAGGATCCCATATGGGTACCAGTTCATGTCCCTGCTGCTCTACTTTCCATCCAGCTCCCCGCTTGTGGCCTGGGGAAGCAGTTGAGGACAGCCCAAAGCCTTGGGATCCTGCACCTGCATGGGAGATTTGGAAAAGGGTCTTGATTCAGCTCAGCTCCCAACCATTGCATCCACTTAGGAGTACAGCAGAAGATAGATCATTCTCTCTGTTTCTCCTTCTCTGTGTAAATCTGCATTTCCGAAAAGAAAAAAGATCAAGCACGAACTATGTAGGATAGAAGTTGGAGACACTGCCACAGAAGGGCTTTCTACAGACAGGTATGTGGCCTCCTTGACCCTGCTTGCTCACCCCTCCAACAGTTGAAGAATTCATGAGGTAGTTCAGGAGCACAAAAGCACCGCAGACACAAGTGCAAGGAGCATGGAGTCCGTGCAGGGCCAGGGACCATGGACACTTCTCCTTTCACTGACACTTTTCACAGGGTGCTGCCCTCAACTACAGTCACAGGTCACATAGCAATTTTTTGAAGACCAGCATTGTGGCACGGTGGGTTAAACCACAGCCTGTGACAACGGCATCCCCTATGGATCCAGGTTCCCATCCCGGCTGCTCCACTTTTAATCCAGCTCCTCCTGCTAATGGCCTAGGAAAAGCAGTGGAGAATGGCCCAAATGCTTAGGACCCCTGCCAGCCAGGTAGAAGAACTGGAAGAAGCTCTTGAATCTTGGCTTCGGCCTGACACAACCCTGGACTTTCAAGCCATCTGGAAAGTAAACCAGTAGATGAAAGCTCTCTTTCCCTGAATCATGTGAAGAGGCCCCATCAAGTGACTGATTCAATATCATCAAACCTTGCGGAAGTACCTGCGATGATGTTCGCACAAAACCAAAAATCGGGCCCAGCGCCGTGGCCTAGCAGCTAAAGTCCTCGCCTTGAATGTGCCAGGATCCCATATGGGTGCCAGTTCTAATCCCAGCAGCTTCATTTCCCATCCAGCTCCCTGATTGTGGCCTGGGAAAGCAGTTGAGGATGGCCCAAAATTTTGGGATTCTGCACCGTGTGGGAGACCTGGAAGAAGTTCCTGGCTTCAGATCAGCGCAGCACCGGCCATTGCGCTCACTTGGGGAGTGAAACATCAGATGGAAGATCTTCCTTTCTGTCTCTCTTCCTCTCTGTATATCTGACTTTGTAATAAAAATAAAATAAATCTTTAACAACAAAAAACAAACAAAAACCAAAAATTACACAACAGTTCATTCTCAGAATACCCAGCCATCATGAAATGACATGTGATTGGACAAGGACATTTCAAAAAGTACATGAAAAGGGACCTGGCACGATAGTGTAGTGGTTAAAGTCCTCGCCTTGAACACACCAGGATCCCATATGAACGCCAGTTCTAATCCCGGCAGCTCCGCTTCCCATCCAGCTCCCTGCCTGTGGCCTGGGAAAGCAGTCAAGGACGGCCCAAAGCCTTGGGATCCTGCACCCGCGTGGGAGACCCAGAAGAAGCTCATGGCTTTGAATGAGCTCAGCTCTGGCCTTGCAGCCGCTTGGGGAGTGAATCATCATCAGATGGAAGATCTTCCTCTCTGTCACTCCTCCTCTCTGTACATCTGACTTTGCAATAAAAATAAATACATCTTTTTAAAAAGTGCATGAAAAGGCTGGAATGAGAAGATGACATACATGTTCTATAAATTTCAAGTACCTAAGGCGACTCAGGTCCCTATTAACACCCAAAACCACAAGACTGCAATCTCTTGCTAACCGCTCCTCAGAGCACACAGTAAGTGAACCACATGTATTTGTTCAATGTGGGACCCAGTAGAAGGTGCCC